AATAATCATTGTTGGAAGTATCTTCCTAGCCCAGAGAGCTCCATGTGTCCTGATCATTCAGAATGTCTAGAGTCTAGATAAGAGTCTTGAGCTCATGCATAGTTTCTCAGTAGCTTGAATTTACATGTCCAAGCAGACCTGGAGATGGGTTCAAGCTACTGAACTAAAGTGTCAATAGGCAATTAGAAATATTGTAATCTCATTGTTACTGTGTGATTGACTGACATTTCTTTATCTGTTCTGTATGTGATGACCTCAGAGTCTTATTGTAATCTCTGCATCCTGTCATCAATTGCCCTGTACCAGTGTACCTATAAAATACCCTGCAATGGTGTTGAAGCTTTGCAGCAGAATTCACCTCTGCCTGCCTGGTAATACATGCATTATTGTGAGTACCACGGGAACCTTGGGTTAATACGATAAAGCCTAGATGGTCTGGACGCTTGATCTTTCCCACGAACCCGAGTTTTATTCCCTCTTCTCAAATTGAGATTCCGGGATTCTGACATGGCCTGGGGCTGCAGACCCCTTAGGCCACTGGTTAATCTGGCAATTTATTGATATTTTCCTCACAGGGAACTTATGCTGTGGCTTTTTAAGGGGGAGCCATCTAAGCAAAATGCGTCTGGGCTAGTAGGCAGAGGGCAGTCCTTGCAGAACTTGGGGGGGTGGGGGCAGGGGTATAACACCTATTCCAGTTTGGAGGATCTTTGGACTGCCCCCCCCCACCTTCCCCAAATGAATCTTACAAAGGCAGCTTATCCTGATGCGGCTAGGGCTTGAGGAAATGATGGCCCAAGCCATTTTAAAAAGAAATGCTTAAATTGGTTTTTACACTTCTAGAGTCTGTTAAATTTAATGAAAAACCTGCACTGAATATGTTGCGTTTGTGTTTGGGTTCAGTGTATGTTGTCTTCAGTATCACCAGTCAGAAAATGGACAGAGTTAATAATAAACCTGATTTATATTATGCTTGCGGCAGTAAAGGTGCTGCTGGTGTCATTTCATTAAACTAGATTAAAATGGTAGAATGTTCACAAACATTCCAACTACTCAAGGAACAAAGCTGTTAGAAGACTTGGAGCGGCGTTTTTGGAAGGAAGGGAAGGTAGTCTGTTTTCTAGGGGTTAGCACCTCTCCCAGGTTCTAAGGATGGGAATAGCATTATGAACCAACCGAAGACTGAAAAGCTGTGGTAGGAGGCCTCAGAAGGCTCTGACTAAGCGGGGGAAGGGAGAGGAAGACAGGATGGCTGGAGAAAAAAGCCTATGTAAGGAGATTTATAAAACTAGAGGGGCAGTATATTGAGAAATTAGAGGTCTAAGAGACAAATCCAAGAGGTCATTGAGCTGCCAACTCTAGACAATGAGAGGGTATTGTGCTGCACTTCAGAGCTGCATTCAAAGAAGAATTATTGCCTTTTTATTGATCTGTTAGCTGCTCTGAGAGCCTTTTCAGTTAAAGAGTGGGATAGAAATGCTTTAAATAAATAAACAGAATTCTGAAAAATATTGCTTGTTATATCACTGTTGATTCTAAAGAGCAATGTGATGGGGTGTTGAATTTCACATGTGAACCAGTTAGCCCTTTCTTTGGCTGTACACTTCTAATAATGTAGCTTGAATTTTAGAAGTGTTCTGTTCCTCTCTGCCTACTGTATTAACATTCTCATGCAGCATATTCTGGGCTGAACATTTTTCTTTTTAGTCTTCCTTGGATAAAGAGCAATGGCCTCAGTGTCGTCTGCTTAACCTCAGTCAATTTTCAGCCAGTCTCCCTGCAAGAGGAGAGTGCACCCAGAACTATGCAGACAACCATTTCCAGGCTGTATTTATTTAGTTGATGAAAGTGAGTTTTTTAAAAATCCAAATGAGAAACAAAAGCACCTTCGTATCACTTGCAACAGAAGGGCTTGTAAGAATGAGACTGTCCCTCACACTTTGATTCTTTTACACAGCTTATTGCCTTCTCAGTAATTTATCAACTAAGACATAGTTTTGCTATGCTCCAGCTGCAGTCCGTCAAGGTCCAGCAGTGACTTACCACTTCACAAGCCAAAATCCAGCTCTTCCGGGAAGCTCTCCTTTCTTATCTGTATTTGGCTGTCTAGAGCAGGAGTGGGCAATTTGTGGCCCTGAAGAAATTTGGGGCTACCCACCATTCTGCCTTAGCCAACATAGCCAATGGTGCAGCATGATGGGAGTTGTAGGCCAATAGAGGACGTACCCCAGCCTAGAGGAAGTCATGCTAGCCAAGCATGCTGGCAAACACATTTATTTATTTATTTATGGATTTCTATCCTGCCTTTTTCCTACAAAGGGCTCAAGGCAGCTTACATCATTCTCCTCCTCCATCTTATCCCCACAACAACAACCCTGTGAGGTAGGTTGGGCTGAGAGTCAGTGACTGGCCCAAAGTCACCCAGTTGGCTCCATGGCTAAGCGGGGACTCGAACCCGGATCATCTGAGTCCCAGTCCCACGCTCTTAACCACTACACCACACTGGCTCTCACATGCTTCTCCAGTGTGAATGAAGCTCCAAACAAACTTCAGAACAAGGTCAAGGGATTACTCAGGAAACTGGCTGGAGTTCCTAATTTTGGATTAATAACCATAGTCACAGTCTGACACAGGGGCCTGTGGCTTGATCCCAGTTGCCCCAGGGGCTGCAATGCCAGTGGGCTGCAGAAAGCAGACCCCTCTCTTGCTTACTGCGGACTGTTCAGATGGATTCCTCTGATTCCAAGGAGGAGCCGGGGGGGGGGGGCAAAGGCTTTGAAGTTTCAAGGTTACCTAGTGAAGTTTCTCAGACAGGGCACAAGAATCAGCCTGCTTTGGAAGGGGCAGGTGCATTTTCAGGATCAGAGGGAGTGCAGGGGCAAGACCCAGTCAGAAAATGATGGGAGAAGCACAGAACTCAGTTAGAGGGGCTCTGCAGCAAGGGCCAGCCTGAGGGTGGGCCAGAAGCTTTTCTGAAGGGGAGGGACAGAGGGGAAATTTCCTGGAGCAGGAAGAGGGGATCAGCTGGTCAGCACTGGGAAAGAGCAGCTCCACTCAGATGATTCCCTGCCTCTCACATGCCTGTGAATAGTGAGAATCAGCTGGCTGGACCACCCAGCTGATTCCCCCACTGTTCTCATCCCTGCTTGCCAGAGAGGTGACCAGAACCCAGCACTTGCTTTGGGGATGCCAGGTTCTGGATGCCACTATGGAAAGCAGGAGTGAGAAGGCAAGCGGAGCTCCTCTCCTTCATCACTACTACTTGCCAGAAAAGTGGTTGCATGAGCATCAGGTTTGGGACACCGCTCTAATAAGCCAGAGTGAGAAAAGGGACTGAGCACCACCACCTAGTGGATTCTCACTCTTCCCTCATGGTGAGAGCCAGAGGAGGAATCCGCTGAGTGACACTGAAGAAAGAAACCCAGCTGATTCCCCCCTCTTTGCCTGAGTGTGGATCAGACACCCTCCCCTCCTGCTCCAGGAGACCCCTCTGGAGCAGGAGACCAGGTGCTTGATCAGTCTCTCTGCAGTACTTCAGGGCATGAGCCCTTTTTGCATAATAGAGGCTGTCTGACAGCTGCAGCGAGCCAAACACGGTGTGCGGCTGTGGCTGTCAAAGAGAGGAGCCTCATTGCTCCCGGCTCTGTCTCCTGGGAGGCCACCTGGACTGGAGGACTGAGAGGGCAGGAGAGAGTGGGAGGGAAGGGAGTTACCACCATGAAGCTGACTGACCATCATGTACACTGAGGTAAAAAAGCCCACACATTGTAGTAACCACAAATATGGTAGCCCCAGTTCCTTCTGAAGGGGCAACTATCTCTACAAATTTTATCTAATTCTGTCAAAAAATTAAAAGTTTCATGCCACTTCACTTAACAACTCAATGTGTGCGTGCGTACATAACACAAAAAAATACTATACCTATTTTTCTGAGAGCCAACAGAAATAATCCCCTTCTAGAGGGCTACTATGCATGACACTTATCCACTTCTGACAAAGAGAACAAACACTATAGGCATTTTTAAAAATCTATGATCATAAAAGGAGGCTCCAGGTTTTGGAGGCCCCTGGGCCAGACCCCGTCCGTGGGCCCCTCCCTCAGCGGGCCCAGGTCCTCGGTGCCAGGTCAGCAGCTGCTCCGGCTCCCCCCTTGTCCCCCATTGCTGGTCAGGAGCGAGCCGGTGGGTGAGCAGCTGCCCCCCCCATCGTTCCCCCTCCTCCCTCTCCACCTCCTCTTCCTCACCACCACCTTTCCTGGCCAGAGGTACAGGCAGGCGAAAAGCAGGCTGCCATGGTGAAGAAGGGGCGCCACCCAGGGCCCTTGGCGGTGGCCTCCGCGGGGCTGTGGGCCTCCCCAGCTGCCTGGCAAGTCCTCCCTTTGCCGGCCCTGGGAGGCGCAGAAGCCTCGCTCACCCCGGCCATGCGGCCCCTGAAGCGGCCTGAGCAGAATCCAGCCTCGTCCAGAAGCCCTGAACGGAGGTGCTCCGGAAACTTGCGGCCGGGGCCCCCCTCCGAGCGAGAGAGAGACGGCGACGGAGGGACAGCAGGGGGCAGCACAAGACAGCGGAAGGAAAACGGCCTGTGTTGCCTCACCGACTTTGGAAACCAGCTCGCTTTCTTCCCTCCCCCTCAGCATGGTCTGCCCCAGCCGCACTGAATCAGAGGTAAGAGTTTACTGAAATCTTGTTTGCAACTTCCAAGCACAGACTACAAGAACTGGAAGGCGAGAGAAAAGAGACACTAAGTCCAGACTGCAAACATGTGAGTGCTGCTGATTGCGTGGGAAAGGGGTGGGTGGCAAAGACTGGTGTCACTCCTGCCAGTTAGTGTTACTCTGACAAAGGCTGGGATTAAAAGCATACCCAGTAGCTATATTTCAGTGCCTCTGTTATCAAATGATAGTGTGCGCTTTAATAAATACTCGTCACTCTGGGAATTGACTACAGAATTGTGTTTAGCCCTAGGGGAGTGTTGCATACAGTCTAAAGATGCAGCTAACCTGCTTTGTTCTTGGCCTGATCTTGTAGCCTGCTGAAGCAGAGCAGGTTAGCAAGTGCCACTTAGATGTTTCCTTCTTCTCAGCTATGGGTGTTGCTTGGAGACACTTTATCACTACAGAGTGGTATCAACATGGACACAAAGCAGAGCTGGTCAGTTCTGTTTTTTGATCCTTCCCCAGGAGCTATGTGATCTTGGAATCCAACAAGCTGTACATGGAAGAAACTCCATGCAATAACGAACCAAAAGCAGTGGTTGTTGTGCCCAGTAGTAATGAAAGCAAAACCAAGAGCAAAAGGTAGCTAGGAAACAGTGCTGCTTGGCTCTTTTCTTCATAGGTCACAGGGCCTCTGCACAGGTTTTGTATATGCATGTGGATAGCTGTGGTAGAGAATAGTGTTTGTGACACTCTGTTGCTATTGCTGACAATTCTGAGACTTTAGATCTGTGGACAACCTGCATGTCAGGTGCTAATTTTCCTCCTTTTCTATAATAGATAGTGGTTTAAAAACAGGCAATTAGTTCTCTCCACCCATGTTTCCAGCAGAAGAGTCAAGGCCTGGTTTCAGAGCCTGAAGGGATGTGTCTAATCTAAGCCTCTGTTTACCAAACCAAGATGTTTCTATGTCTTAAGGCTAGACATATAGGATTAAAAGGACATAGATAATGCTTGCTGAAGTCTTAAAATCTGGACTGGCAAATGAGTAGGATATCCAACATGTGTTGAGCAGTATAACCTTTTCATGTGGTATAGCAGTATTCTCCTTCCCATGACTACCAGGAACAGATGCAGCAATGATACAGAATGTAAATGTATTTCAGTTGGGTAAGTTGCTCAATTCAGCTTTATATGGTGCAGAAGAGGAGGGTCCTGCACACGTTAAGGGTCCTCACATATCCTTCATTTGGTAATGTCTTTCATTTTTTCATCTGTGCATGCTATGTTTACAGGTTTCCCCCACTCCTGCTGCTGCAGGGAATTTTCCTTGTTGCAGTGGTCAGTTCCATGCCAGTCTCAAGAAGACTTTATGGTGAAGTCAGCTCCCCCAACTACCCTAAACCGTACCCAAACAACAACATCACTACCTGGGACATTTCAGTGCCAAAAGGCTACAGAGTGAAGTTGAATTTCTGGCATTTTGATTTGGAGCCATCCGAAGCCTGCCATTATGATTATGTCAAGGTATATGATGAGCAGAGGCTGGGATACAGAGTGGGTCTGGAAGGGGACTCCTGGAGTCCCAGTAAGGGTATCCATACTGGAGAGTCAGAGAAGGGGTCCATTCTCCATGTTCCATGGCAAAGCATCTTCCATGGCAAAGATGGGAAAGTTGATTTTTTGCTTTCTTTGAACAGCAGGCTAACTTACTCCAGCAAATTTCCCTCAGTTGCAAATTAAGTTTGCCATGTTGCATTCTCCCCATGGATGCTGTTGTTTTTTTAAAAAAAATACTAGCCCAAAATCCCCATAACTATGTGAAACTTGTTGGAGGCTCTTTGGATTTTGACTAATTAGTGCCACGTTTTTAACATTATGCCCTTCTCTCCTTGGGATCTGGCAGATCAAAGCAGACAAAAAAGACCTGGGCCGTTACTGTGGCCAGGTGGACTCAGCCATTGGCAACCACCCCAAAGGAAGAGAGTTTTTGTCCATGGGGAACACGATGCAGCTGTTGTTTCATTCTGACTTCTCCAATGAGGAAAATGGCATCTCTGTCTCCTACAAGGGATTCCAAGCCTACTATCAAGCTGTGGGTGAGTATAGAGGCTCCATGCCCTGCAGAAGGAAGCATGCCGGGTGGATATCAAGAATACTAGCCTAGCTGTAGGCAGAGGCAGTTGCACAGGCAGCTTGCACCCCATGCCAAGCAGGTAGCACAGAGCCCTGGCTGGGAACCAAGAGAACTGACCTTGCTGGGATTCCGGAAAGTGTCTTCTGTCCAGTTTCCTGGAACAAGCAGGTCCAAGGGCATCTGGGTGCAGAAGGATAGAGTCCCTTAGCAATGGAGGGAATGCAGTCAATCCGGGAGCTTTATCACGGGCATATCCCTCTCTGGGATCACTTTTCCATAGTGCAAGAACAGGGTGGGGTGGGAGTTAGCACAGAGTATCTAGCTAGCATCCCTGTTCAGATGTCCTGACATTCCCACCTTGGACTAGCATCTCTGGTGGGAGAGGGAATGAAGGATCATGTGCTCCTGGTTCAGTCCCTGCAATCCCTTAACACAAGAGGACAGTCTTCCTCCTCCTGGTGCCCTGGTGCCCTGAAGTCCAAAACATCTGGAGGGCACCAGCTTAGGGGAGCGTGCAGTAGGAGAATCTGAGTCTCCTTCCCAATAGGAAGAAGTTCAAGAGGAAGCAAATGAGGGACGCCAAGCAAAGTTCCTCATTAAAATAAGTCTCATGTCATGCAGGTAAAGGATTTCAGCAGAGGTCAGTTGATAGTTGCAAAAGGAAGGAGTCTAGTATCCCGATCCTTTAAAAAGTGAAATGAATAGCAGCCATTGGCTAGTCAATTCAGGAGTATGAGCAATGATAATGAGCAAACAATACCCAGTTTTCTCTCTTCAATCCAATCTAATAGACTTGACTTTGATAACAGAAGGAAGTGCCTTCAGTGTAGTTTGCTAAGCACTGTTTGTTATTGTTAATGAAGGTAAATTCCCTCAAAACTTTTTCCCAGCTTTTTTCCAAGTTAATTAACATAGCTTACAAATCTTATATCTAACAGCTTGCAAGACCTTAGACTGAGCTATTCGGTTACTCAGGTATATATTTTAGCAAAATATACAGTTATCACATTTGTTAGTATTCTAATTAATGAACATAATGGAGTACAGCTTTCTGAGGTTAAAGACCCATGTAAACATGTTAATGTTTTGCTTTTACTAAACAGTGTGTTCTGAATTAATAGTAACATACACAACAGTACACTATATTTGCATTATTTATTTTATTGTATTTATTTAAAACATTTACACGCCCCTGCTCATCCATGGATTTCAGGGTGGTCTCTAACCAATTTGTCTCATAATACAAGCAACCATACGACCATACATACTTTTCTGAATTTGGAGGGTTACAGGCATCTGGATTAGATTGTGCCTTTATGTGCTAATGTCATCAAGGCAGTGCACAGCAATTTAATAAATCCCTAAAACAATAAAAATAAGAAGCATAAAACTGTAAAATATTATAACATTAATCAACTACATAATTTAAAGGCCTAACTTTAAAAGATGTGCCTTCACACCCTTTGTAAAAGTCAAGAGAGTGAGGACAAATGGTAGTTCTTGAGGGAGTGCCTCCACAGCTGGGGAGTGACACAGGACAGCCCCTTTTCAGGAATGCCTGGTGAGTGGGTCTTTGTGAGTAATGTTGGCCTTAAAAGGACCTCTTTGAAAATCAAAATAATTAGGCAGGGTCCTTAGATATCCCAATCATAAACGGCATAGTCTTCAGGGAGAGCACAACTGTTTCCAGAACAGGTTGAATCCCAATCCTTAGCCTGTCCACTGACCATGAACATTTTCGTCTTGTTTGGACTTAACCTGCAAAACTTTCTTGTCTCTCCTTATTGGGTATCCCCAGATTTGGATGAGTGTACCCATGGAAATGCCAATGAAGATGGACCTCGGTGCCAGCACTTCTGCCACAACTATATTGGTGGCTACTTCTGCTCCTGCCAGCCTGGCTACCGACTTCAGAGTGATCGGCATTCCTGTCGAGGTGAACAGACAAGTGCCCACCCCAAGGAACCCAGGGAGAGGTGGCAGCTGGTGTAGCAAAGTACCTGTGGGGTTCAAGAGATCGTAGGCTCAAATCCAGCCTTAGGGGAGCCATCAATTCTCGGCCTTAGCCTCTCATCTTCAGTATAAGGATAAGAAGACTGGTTTTTCCTGTAGAGTTTACTGTTGTGATAATGGGTATGAAATGCTTCGAATATCGCAAGCGCTCTACAAGTTTCTAAATATTACTATTTTAGCCAAAGGCTTCATACTAAAGATGATACTGAGTGAATTAACTACTCCCATGGCCCTTTTTCATCTGGTGTATTCACAGGATGAGAAGTTAAAAGGTGGATTTTCCTGCACTTTCACTCTCTTTATGAGTAAAGTGAGGTTTGAAACCTGTGTGAGAAATTGTTAATGCAGAACCGCAGGGATGATCGTTACTTCAGGCTAATTAATGGTGTTGTGTTAGAGAGTAGGGTTCTGGAGGCTGGGCTGCCTGCAAGGGAATAATGCTGCAAAACTCTCCTGTGGTGTGCCTGATTATCAATCAGTAAGCCTTCTTTTGGTTCCCTGGTCTTCAGTGGACTGCAGCAATGTGATGTTCACGGAGCTCTCTGGGTATCTGTCAAGCCCTGGATATCCTCAGCCATACCCAGCTGATCTGCAGTGCAACTACAGCATACGAGTGGAAAAAGGGCTGACCATCACCCTCAAGGTTCTGGAGCCTTTTGAAATCGATGACCACCAGCAAGTCCATTGCCCTTACGACCAGCTTAAGGTACTGCAGATAAATGCAGCCTTTGCTGAGGCTGTTACACTCCATCCCACTTCCTTGGAATGGATCATAAATGGAAAGGGGGAACTTTTAAGCATCCAAGAATTCTTGCAGTTGGTACTTTGGGTGGCTAGTTCTCAGTGTGAATAATATTGTCCCGTATGCTCATGCATTTTTTGAGCTTATGTTGCTATATGCCCTCCGCTTTCCCTGACTGGTGAGAAGTTCTGGTGGAGCAGAGCTTACGTGGCCTTGTCTTCCTTTGGAAGAAGTCACTCAGAGCAGTTGAGGGCCAGTTCACACAATTGAGGGTTACTCCTACGGTTGACAAACCGCCCCCAGATACCTAGACCAGGGGGTTTAGGGACAAACTAGGGCATAGGGACAGTTGGTTAACCCCCTGGTTAACAAAAATACCAGAGTTTTGAGGTGGTTAGTTAACCCGAGCAACAACCCACCCTCAGTTGTACAAAATGCCCCACAACCTCCATGTTTGCTATATTTTTGAAGGATTTTATTTATTTATTTTATTTATTTTTGGGTTTATATCCTGCCTTTTTCCTACCAAGGGCTCAAGGCAGCTTACATCATTCTCCTCCTCCATCTTATCCCCACAACAACCACCCTGTGAGGTAGGTTGGGCTGAGAGTCTGTGACTGGCCCAAAGTCACCCAGTGGGCTCCATGGCCGAGCGGGGACTCGAACCCGGTTCGCCTGAGTCCCAGTCCCATGCTCTTAACCACTGCACCTCACTGGCTCTCTTTTAGGCAACACACCCTTGCCAGGGATGGACAACATGTTAAGCTGCACCAGTAATGGAACTTAAGCAAAAGGGGTGGCATGTCACCAACAAATGCAGAGTGGATAACAAGTCACCAAGGCTTGTTCGCCATGCCGATGATTGTGAGAACGTGTTCGCTGAGCAGTTTTGCACATCATGACAACCCACCCTGCAAACAAACTGCAGAGGGACTGTTCATGAAACAATCCACAGTGCACCATGGGTTATACCTCCCTCGTCCCCTTGATCTTTCCACCAGCATTCCAGGGGTTCTGCAGCAGGACCGACTTGTCTGCTCTTCCTCCACCACAACTGCAAGCTCACTCGTGTTCACTGCCAATTTTTTTTTTACCTTCCAGCCCTGTTTGGAGCTCTCTTTTCACAATTTCTGATCTGACAGCTAGTGATAGCCCCCTGAAGCATGTTGGAGGAGCTGTCACTGGTTTGTCACCCTTCTTTTTTAAATGTAAGAATATTGTGCAAATGTTTTCAAATATTTAAAAATATTTTTTGTCAGACTAAAAATGGCAACCCTTGCTTGGGCAAAGCCCTGAGGGAGGATGTCTGCTGTCAAAGTGCAGCAGGCACCCACCATGGACCTTGACCTAGGAAAGCTACAAAAAGCTATACTTTCCAGTTTGCTGTCTCTTGACAGCTGTCAAAAAGTAGCCTGTCAAGAGAAAGCAAAACCATGAGTGATCTTTGCTCATGAAAGAGGGTGACCTTCCTGGTGAGATCCTCTAGGGTTACTAATTTTTCTTTTTGTCCCTGGCTCTTGCCAGGTTCTTCACACTTTTCCACCCTTTCCTGGGATTCCTGGATTTCAGGCTGTGCGGGTGGGTCCTTGGTTTTGAAGCTTGAAGACATTTGGTTGTACAGGCAGGATGCAAGCTTACTGAGAGCCAGTAAGCACCCACCCTCTTGGAATATAGCCAATTATGAAGGTCAGAAATGTCAACAAACAAGTCAAGTTCACAGTAAAATGAATCAAGAAGTAAGAATTCCTCACCAAAACTTTTCAGAACCCTATGTGACCATAACATGAGTGAAACGAATCTTCCTTTCTTTGCATCGGCAGCTATTTGAACTAGCAGAGCAATTTAGCAGAACGAGGGCCATGAGGGACTGATGTAGGCAGAACAATATTTCTCTTCCTTTATCATTGTTCTGTTCCCCAGAGAGGGATCAAAGAGCTTAAGCTAGTTGGTTGATGGACCAGCTTGATGGTCTTGGGGAACAGAGGATATTAAGGTGTGACTTTTGGCACTTGTACTTCCGAACCCTTCATTTCTCACTAGATCCAAGTTGGGGGAAAAGTGATCCATGAGTTCTGTGGCACAGTGTCTCCGGGGGCCATCGAAACCAACAGCCCTTCTGTAGATGTCCTTTTCCTTACAGACGAGTCGGGAGTCAGCCGTGGGTGGAAGATCCAGTACAGCACAGAAAGTAATGTATCCCCAGTGCAACAGATGAACACAGATGTTACCCAGCCACCTGCCAATGTATCTCTCACCTCCTTTTTTAAAACTCTCGAACAGGAATCCGTTGCCCACAGCCTGTGCCAAATGATGAGTTCACTATCATCAGAGAACTACAGCCCGTGTATCGATTCCAAGACTACTTCATTGTCAGCTGCAGGACTGGATATAACCTGGTGGAGGTGAGGCTTACTTATTCGACTTTTTGCCTCTATCCACCTTTTAAGCATTTTTCATCCAGTGATGTCTTGATCTCACAAGTCCCATTCCCAGATAACTCCTTTCCTTTTACATTTCTCACTCTTTCTCATAGAAACAGTCTGCCAGGGCATGAGAAGCAGCCTCCAACAAAATCTCTCCCCCAGAGGCAAGAAAAAGGTCACACTGTGCTTTTGGTTCTGACTAGAGTCAGAAAAAGATTTGGTGATTGCACAGTTTTGAGGCTGTTGCGAAAAGCCTAGTGAAGAAATGAGGGAACCGAAAGTAGATAATAAAGCAAATAAACAAGACTTAGATGAATGCAGAAGTCAGCCTTTTATGTGGCAGGACTGGCTCTGTGAAAATGGGGAGCTTTTCTGGGCATGGAAGGTGACTTTTCTGCATTGCAGAGAACCCAAACTCTACCAGCCTGCTCCCTAAGAAGCTAATGGAATGATGGCGCCATTTGAAGGCAGAGAATGTGGCTTCCATGCAGAGTTGAGCCCAGTAGTTTCTAATTTATTTTTAAAATAGATCTATGGCTATCCCTCCTATATTCTTTCCCTGCCACATATGAAGTATTCTTTTTAATGCTTCAGCTACAGCATAGTATGGAAATATTGTTATTATTCTATTAATTATTATTAAATTTATTTTTTATTATTATTATTCCTAACAAGAGGAAAATGTGGTATACCAATGCAATGTGATAATAAAAAGAATAGCTATTAGGTTTTTATTTTCTTCAATGTATGCTAAAATGCATTGCTTCTGAACTTCAGAATTTTAATTTGTTTTCCTTCTTGCATGTGAACTTTTTTACTTTGGCTATAAAGTTTTTAAAAAGGTTTATAAAGAAATGAACTACTAAAAACACAAAACAGGAGCGAGATGAAAGGGAGGCCACTTCTAATACATAAGATGCTTGAGGCAGTGCACTTGTCAGCTTGTCCATTGTGACCAATGAGAGGCAGAAGAGGTGGGGGGATTTTCTTCGCAACCACAGCGTGCAGGAACTGTTCAGTCCTTTCCTCTCCTGCTGTGGGCTGGCTGAAAATTCCCATTTAGCCCCATGAATAACACCTGGGACTAATAACTTGGCACAGGTTTTTTCCTGGGACTATTGGTGGAGAGGGAGGGTTGATCCCTCCTTCCCCAGGTGTTGCAGTGCCGTGATGAAAGATGTTGCATGTCCCCTACGTGTGCTTTTAGTGTGTGTTTGTAAAAACTTTCAGGCTTTCTAATAAGCATTTAGTGTAGACCTGGAAAACCTCCAGGCTGCAGGCTAAAGATGGCCTTAGGGGTTCCTCAAGCAGCCCACCAAGCGTCTTTCCCAGGTCCTTTCCTGTCCTCTGTGCTGGTGCCAAGAGCAGAAGAAGAGTTTGTTCCCAGTGTGCAGCAGATCTGAAATAAACCGTGTCTTGTCTGGGAAGGGCATGTCTGAATGGCCTGTGTGTTTGAGTGTGTGAAAATGTGAGAGCGCCATGTGCCAGCAATGGCTCCACCAACATGAGGCAGTGTCACCCCCTTGTTAGCATGTGGCCTCCAGTGTCCTGTGCCAGGCCCAGTCTGGCCCTCTGGCTGAAAATGGCTCTCCATTCCAGAGTTAGTGTCCCCTTTATAGGGCGCTGTACTGTCTTGCCGTAGGACAGCGAATGGGAAACGAGCACTACATGATACTAAGCAGGGGAGCACAGGCAGGATTGTGGACATGACTAATTCACACTGCTTTGTCTGAGCAGGGTCATGAGCGTTTGCCATCCTTCACCGCTGTGTGCCAAGATGATGGGACCTGGCACCGCCAGATGCCCCACTGTGAAAGTGAGTAGCTCTCTTCTGGTGCTTGCCGTGGGGCCCGAGCCATGCTGGCCACAGCACGAAATGGAGGCAGGCAGATCTTGGAATGCCATTAGAGGGAATCTGCTCTGCAGAGCAGGAGCCGCCCTGGCCCCAAGGTCTCTTTCAACCCACAGCCCCACCTGGCATGACTCCTGCTGTGTCAGCCTTCAGAGCTGAAAGGTGACTCACCTGCCGGGCAGCTGCTGGAGGAGCTTCTCGGAGCTATGATGTGCCCTGAGGCTCTGCTCACCTGGTCAGCCCACTGGCTTTCCCAGGATATCAACGCCTTCAGGGCGGCTGAAGACCTGACCCCAGAACTTGTATCTGCATGCCAGACCTCTGTGCAGCAGTCCTGAGGGTGCTTTGCGGCCAAACTGCATCAGCTGCAGGACTCTATCTCAGTTCTGTGACTGAAACGAAACAGAATGAGCACAACAAAGCAAAGCAAGGTGAGGCGGTCTCCAGGGCTGTGACTGAGCATGGGAAGAATGGCACTGGGTGGGAGGCTGCTGAACTCTTTTCGCTCCTGCCCTTGGTTGGCTCAAAATCATTTGGGGTGAAAGCACAGAGGTTCTGCATCCTTTTCCATGTGCGTGAAAATACAGCTTAAGGGTGTAGTTTTCAGCGGACAACTAGCAGGCAAGGTAAAGATTGGGCAGCCCTTCTGCTTTTGGTTTCTCCACTCACAGTCTCTGAGGCTGCTTTTCATTTTTTAAGAAATCAAATCAGCCACTGCATATCACACACCTGAGCATCACGTGTAGCTTCATTTGCGAAAGACACAGCACTTTTGGAGCATGAATCGAGATGCTCCACAGCAGTTTACAGCAGCTTGCCAAGTAACTGCTGAATGTCTACCATAGTTGGGCTTCTGAAGAATGCCTGAGGAAAGTGCTCCTGCGCTCACTCCTAGCCTGCTTGTCTTGCAGTTGTCAACTGTGGTGAGCCTGCAAAACTGCTGAACGGGGCCTTTGATTATGTGAGCCAACCAAAAAATAACAACTACCAGTCCACTATCAGGTACCGCTGCAATGAACCCTACTACCACATGGTGCCCAGGATGGGGACAGGTGAGTCTTGACACAGCAAGAACTGTGTCTCTTCAATCCCATTTTTATCCCATTCTGCAAACACTCAGATGGGATCTCTCTCTCTCTCTCTCTCTCTCAGTTTCAATAAGATATTTCCATGTTGGTGGCACCCTCTCTGAAAAATACTTGCCCCACAAAATCTCAACTGGCCCCAGTCACATCAGGTTAGCACAGGGCTGTGGCTCTGCCAATTCTTACTAATTGTAAGCGACAAAACAGTTTTTGTGCTAGTATTAGTGCATTTTGCATTTCCAGTGAAAGGCCCAGGATGAGTAGGTGGCACAGAATTTCGCTGGGGGTGGGGGCAGGCTCCCAACATTCAAATAAAACAGTGAGTCTCTAGCCCTTGTAGAGCCTGAGAGGGTTCATGCGTGATCCTGCTCACGTGCTACCTGCATTATTGGAAAGCTTCTCAAGAGCTTCTGCTTTGATGTTAAAGCTCCGTCCTGGGAAGCAAAGGAAATAGCTTTGTGCAGAAAAAGCTGGGGATTTAATTGGGTGGCATTTCTTCAGACTCTGTCCCCATGATTTTTGTTGCCTCTTTCAGATACTTATAGCTGCTCCTCTGAGGGTTCCTGGAAGGATCAAAGGGACCAAGAAGACATCCCACTGTGCCTACCAGGTTAGTGGAATGCCCAGGCGCCCCTGCACCTTTTCCTCAACATTGTCAAATGGAGGGCTCCGTATATTCCTAATCAGAAGACATAGTGCAGCTATTCTGTTTTATCTTCCTTAATGCATCTTCTGTGATAAGAGTGACGATGGAAGAAACTGTAGGAAAAGATGGGAGGGGTTATGGTGGAGGACGGTGAGGCTGGGCAGTTGCACAGGAAACGCCTCATCTGGAAGCTCGCTCAGAGAGACGAGGAAGAAAAAGGGGATCCAAAGTGGTGGAGCACGTACCTCACACATGCAGCTAATTAAATCCAAGCGTTTGCTGTCCTCTTCTCTGGGGATGGGAAAGGCCTTTGCCTGAGACTTTGAGGCAAGTGAAGAGGCTATCAGAAGCAGGCACCCCCTTCGTGCTCAGGATTAGGCCCCCATCACCTAGACAGGCTGCAGATGACTAGACACTGACAGTGGCTGAGCAAGAGTGGGGGGGCAGCCCAGATGGAAAACCAGAGCTAGGGTTACAGTCTGCTTTTGAGGGGCATGCTGAGGGTGCAGGAAGGATGGTTGAGCTAGGCCGCTGATTTGTATGAGGGCAGTAGGTGTGAGGGGCATGGAAAGCGGTCAGAGGAATCGCGTAGTGGCTTGCCCAAGCTGAGGAAGTACAGCAAGGCCTTGGAGCTGCCAGCTGCCATTGGAAAGGGACTGGTACTCCTGTACTATTTCCCAGTACAGGAGGAACGTTCCGTCCTCTCCAATATCTTCCATTCCCCTAATGAGAAGGGCATCAACACCTTGATGCGTTGGCAGAAAACATGGAGAGCACTGGGCTGGGTGTACTGTTAAGAACAGAAGGAAAAATTGTGACATGGGAAGGATCTGGCGTACTTGTTAAGAAATAATGGAAGGTGAAAGAGCACAACATAAGGAAACCTTGAATGCGCTATGGAAGAGCATGAGGATAGGATGCCACAGCCTTTCTGAGCATTGTCTTCCTTTGCAGTGTGTGGAATGCCAGACAATCCTGTCTCCCAGATCCAGCGGATTATTGGTGGCAGTGATGCCAAGCCTGGCAGCTTCCCATGGCAAGCAATGACTGTCATGACTGGAGATGCATTGCGTGCTGGAGGGGCATTGCTGAGCGACCGCTGGATTCTCACAGCTGCCCACACCATTCTTCCGAAAGGGCAAGAAAAACCTGACAATAGATCTCAGGCTTTTCTCAAACAAATGGCCGAGAAGGCTGAAATCTTTATGGGCCACACAGTGGTGACTGAACTCTACAAGCTGGGCAATCGGCCTGTGCGCAGGTTGTTTATACATCCAGACTATGTGCAAGGAGAGGATCACAACTTCGATGGAGACATTGCACTTATTGAGCTGCGGGATCCAGTGACCCTTGGCCCTGATGTGTTGCCTGTCTGTCTCCCAAGTTCAGGGAATGACTCATATTATGTTCCAGGATGGATGGGTTATGCCAGCGGCTTTGGAGTGGAGAAGAACATCCTTGCTAACAAGCTGAAATATGCACCAATCCCAGTGGCTGACCGTGAGCTCTGTGAGGGGTGGTTGCGGGGAAAGCAGATTAACAAGCAGGACCCAGCCTTCACAATCAACATGTTCTGTGCAGGTTCCCCTAAGGAAGGAAAAGACACCTGCCAAGGTGACAGTGGAGGAGCCTTGACTGTGCGTGATCCCGAGACTGAACGTTGGGTGGCCACAGGCATTGTATCTTGGGGCATTGGTTGTGGCAAAGGGTATGGCTTTTACACTAAAGTAATGAACTACCTAGATTGGATCAAGGGCATCGTGGGGAATGACTGGCTCTCAATGCAGGTGCCTTATTGACATACTGAAGGGAGTGTAAGCAAAATTAGGGCCTGAAGATCGAAAGCTACTGCTCATTTTTTTGAAAGAACATGCAACTTTAATGTTCTTTTCCTTTTTAATTCCCAGTTCCCACAAGGAGGATAGTCTCTCAGAACAAACAAGTAGAGCCTTAACTTGCAGACCTACCTATCAATGCCCCCTTTATCAATCCATCAGTCACTCAGAAAGCCTTGGCCGATAAGCCAATTAAATCAAAAATAGTTTGAACTCCCACTGATTCTATAAACTCAAAAACATTTCTGTACTATTTGTTTGTACCAATGGACAAATAAAAAAGTTATAGCCCTATAGCAGTTCTGGATGAGGCTGTTACTGTGCAATGTTATTGCCTCTTTCATTTAATTTTATGGGAGGTCCAGACAATGCTTTCTTCAATTTGTAGCCCCCCCCTCCTACTGTTTCTCCCATGTTTTCTTACCAGGGGAAAAAAACATTCAGGAAGGGAAGGTAGTTTAACTGGGGCTTTTGAGCATGTTTGATTAACATTTGATAGGGTGTCCGAGAACTAGATCAAATTACTTTACAGGCTAGATTTGGTGTTCAGGTCATTAGTGGACCATTGCTGATTTGAGGATATGTAAGAGTTCACACCGGCACATAGTTATCACTGGCTGACTGCAGCATCCAGTCCTATATGATTTAATGGTACCATCCAAGATCTAACAATGCAAATGAAGCTTTCCTATCAAGATGGTTTTTGATGGTGGCTGGTCACGAAGCATAATACTTGCAGTAATCAAGTGCACAGAAATCACGTGGTACCCATGGATATGAAAATTAGACTTAACCCTAATTGGACCTTTCCTTTTCATTTCTCCTATGCACTTTTTGATTATCACAATTTACCAACAGTATTATATTACTAGCTTTATTCTCTCTGATACTTTCCTAACTCAGCTTCTCAGCTAGGTACAGTATGTTAGTGTAATGCTATTAGACAAACATATTATAGCTTTCAAAAATGCCCCACTATTACCTGGGAGTTTCTTTGCTCCTTTTTAAATGGCCACCAGGGAATGTTTGGTACAGCTGTAACACCCCCTGCTCCACAGTGACATTCTGCAAGTATTAAAAATCACTGCTACAGAAACATTAGTGTTTTGTTTTAATGCTCTCCTACTTTTCTCTGTTTTACTGCATATAATGCCATCATGCAGGCAGAGGTGTGTGTGTGTGTGTGGCCATGAAGCGCAATGTGGTTATGGAAATCAAGACTTGAAATAATCCAGTTAATGGGACTTGGTGATCTCACCAGGGTCAGAAGTGGGTTGGAGCACCCATCTAAGTTCACTCCTGTTCACTCCTTCAGCAAGAGTAACATGCTACATTTTGAAATACAGCTGGAGAGCTGTGGAAGCCTGGCTGCCCACTGACACTGGCTGACCTGGTGCTCACCAAACAGGGATCAAGCAATGACAGGGTTCATACAATGCAGCAACCCATTGTAGCCACAGAGGGCTATTTTGTGCAAACTGCACTTCTTAATGGAGTAATTTATTCCAGTTTCCCTTAAAATGGTGGACTTCACCCACCAGAGTTAACCACCTGCAACACATTGTTTAATTATTCAATGATACAACCCATTTCCTACTTTTCAGCCTATACCATGCCCTAAGTTAGTTTAGAATGAAAACATAAACACACTGTTTAGGTTGTGAGAGAAACATTATAAATGTTCCTTTCTTAGTTTCCCAAGCTTGGTAAAGAAACTGACACATGAAAGTAGATAGTGTGTGATTAAAGAGATGAGTAAGTTAGATACTAACAGCACAGCTACATTCAGACTTTGTCATCCTATGTGAGAAGTAACAACAGGGATTCAATTGAGCTGAGGATGAGACTTGGAGCTGAATCCTTTGAAGGGTAATCTTTAAATAAGGTGTGAATAGAGGTAAGGCATGCCAAGGTGTTGGACGAGTAACCAAGAAGGTGGGGCTGATGGGAAAGCATCTTCAGGAGTGATGTCAACTATAAAGGCATTGCTCTGTTATTGATCGGGTCTGTCCCCTTGAGTTCAGCCTATACACAAGTGTATAATCAGTATTGCCTCGTATACCATATATTGCTGTTTTGCTTTTTCCAGTCTATTTGACCTGTGTCCTGCAGGATCTGACAAGGTAATAAGGATTACTTTATTCCAAGATGGATAGGGTTAGGGTGGATCAAGGGCCCTTGATGTTACTGCAGTCAGTTCATTTTGCAGCTTTCAGTTTCTAGCCTTCATGGTGTCCCAGAAAGGGAAAACAAGCAGACAGGAGAAAGTAGAGGAGCTTCATAGCCCTGCACATTTCCCTTAACTGGCTCGTGCCCATCTTCTGCACTACCAAATCTCCTATTTCTGGCCTTTGTTTTCTCTTTGCCACATTACTTTCTCTCTGCCCAGAGGGAATAGTCTTCCAATTTTGCAGTCCATCAGCAGGTTTGAAATTCAATAGATGCATTCATTAATTGATTTCATATCCTGCGTGTCAGCCCACCAGAGATAGCTTAATTAATCCTCAGAACACAGAGTGATTAGAATGACATGCAAAACAGCATGATAATCGCATAAAACAGAAATAAAAATAATATACAAAACGTGTGTGCGCATATGAGAAAACCAAAGGCCTAGAACAGAAAAAAAGGAACAGATTTTTTTTTTCATTTCCTGCCAGAATGGGCCTACAGACACCCTCTACATGCAGTGCTTTGTGAGCAATCTGCTGCCCAAAGGAATTTCCAAAAGGCAGAAATACTGGATTTCCACATGTGGAAATAATTGTAATGTCTGATCATGAAGGCTTCGGTCAATGTTGCTGTGTGTTGCTTGCGTTTCTGTTCACCAAACCCAGATGGGGAAAACCCAACTTGCTTAGTCATTCCTGAGAATGCTGGCCCTGGTATTTTAACTGCTGCTGCTAAAGCTGTGTGTTTCAAACATGCAGAATTCAATGTGTAGCTCACTTAATCCTATGCAGTGCTCATAATCCTGGCTTTCATGGATTTGCTTTCTTAAAAACATGTTGGAGCACAATGCAATGCAATGCACAATGCAATATACAGAAAGAATCACTACAGCTCTCAGCACCCCTCCACAAAACCATGCTGACTTGGGCATGCTGGGGCTTGTAGGTCTTTTTCCTGTCTTTTTCCTTGCATCCTTCGAGAACTGGAAACCTAACAAGAAAACCAGAGTAGGATGCAACTAACACAAAGGTATTCCCCATCTTTATAGCCCCATGCCTTCTTTCACAATTTGGAGTCCACCACTTCACCCTACTTTATCCCACAATCCTTCCTGCTTAAGTTGTACTCAGACATCATGACGACTAGAAACTTGCTTTCAAAATCAATCAGAATTTTAATTCTGAGTGACAGATTCTGTGAGGGAGTCCAGATTTAATAGTGGTATAGTGAGGGAATGTCCTTGTTTATGGAAGTAAACTGTTGTTGATGTTTTGCATAATCTATGGAAAGAGAGGTGGCTGTAAGGTAAGGATGCACAGATGAGGATGTTTACACTGCAGCAGGGGGAACAGAAGTTATGCTTGCTACATCAGGCTGAAGATACATTCTGTTTCCTACAATGTCTAGCAAAGCCTCCAGGAGAGTGATCATCAAGGGCATGGAGACCATCCTTGGATCTAGCCCCCAGCACCTGGTATGGGATCCCCTGGTAGTTATCAAAGGCAATAGTTGTTGGTAGGCAAGCCTTCTAAGCATTTATCCAATCCTCCATTAAACCATTAAATCCTAATAAGAGAAAGAAAAGAATTCTCTTTGGCAGAACCACTGAAATGGAATGAGAGGGCTGGATTGAATGTGCTGCCAAACTTAAGATTGTGAGCTTTTGATATATAGAAGACCAAATCACAGCATATAGCAACCCCCCCCCCCACATAGAATACATTTTAAACTGCAGGTTTCAGTGCAGATTTTATTAAACCATATCAGTGCAGATTTTCAGGGAGAAGGGAGCCCAGAACACATCCAGCTCTGTCCTAGGAAGTGCATGATTAAAGATTAGGAGCTGCAAATCATTAAATGGTAAATGAGCAATTGCCTTGTGCACCTCTGGTGTAACCCTATAAATTTTCCAGGCATTGAAAATTACAAAGAATATCAGCATTTGATGGGTGGGAGTCTCCCTCTCCCCATCTTCAATTTCTGGATTAGTTAAGAAAAGCAATGAAGGGGGCTTCATGTCCAACCTGTCAGACAAAAAAAGGCAACACTCTCATGCTTCTGTGTTCTTTTTAACAGATTCAGAATACATGTTGCAAAGAATTTAACATATTCCTTTGCTGCCCCTCCTTGTGAAATCAGGGCAGCTTCCAACATGCAAATACAAGCCAGAGAGATTCCGTGGCAACCATGAGGGCTGATTGCCTCTTTGTTGAACACAGCTCATATGGTTTTGCTTTTCGGTAGTGCTTCAGCGATGGCAAGCCAGACTTTTAAAGATTTTCTGGCATTTGAAGAGCCACCCATCTAAATCCAGCTCCTCACCTTCCAAAAAAGAAAACTTCCTGCAACAGAGAAGTATATATTCTGCCTCTGACTGTCATGACCAGTGCTTTTTTTGTAAGAAAAAAGGTGCCAGAACTCATGAAATTATTTACCTTTCGCACAGTCAGTCATTGTACACACACCCACACACTTCAGTTGTGTAACAAAACATAATGGTTGCCACCCGCAGTAGGCACTCCGCACGCGACCACATGACCAATCACAAGCTGAGCAGCGCCATCACAACCAGCGCGGACGAAGTATGCATGCATCGGATTCGACACACAAGCAGCCCGCATGCACCGTTTTAATAATTTTGCCACCGACCTGCTACGCTCAACAGGGCGATTCAAATCCACGTGGACCAAACATCAAATTTTCAAAAGTTACTTTTAAAACTTGGAAAATCTGTCAAAAAAAGGTGCCGGAACTCTGTTCCGGTGCGTTCTATGACAAAACAAGCACTGGTCATGGCCATCTGTGGCTTTGTGCTTCTGACATCAGCATTGATGTCTAAGGTAGGGTCACAGGAAGAGGCCATTCAAGCCACCAAGTCTCTGCTTGTTCAGTCCAGGAATCCTGTTAGAAACATCCCTGACAGATGGCTAACTAGTCTCTGTGCGAAGAACTGCAGTGAGGCAGTGGGTTCCATCACTCTGCTCTGACATTTAGAAAGCTTCACCTGCAGTTAGATTTTCTATGGACCTTATTGAGACCATGCTGAATTTCGTTTCTGTCTTCCTCTAAGCTATTCTCTAACAAACCTAAATCTGATAAGCATTCCTCTCACTTCTTCCTCCAAGTCATTAATAAAAATGTTGAAGATTATGGGGCCCATTACTTGGCAGCTCCCCTTTTGATACCTCCTTCATTTTATGAAGAATCACCAGCCAGTATTCTTGAAATATGGTTCTCTAGCCAGCTAGGGACCCATCTAGTTGTAATGCCATCCAGCCTGTATTTAGCAGGTTTGCTGATCAGAATATCAAGAGGAACTTTGACAAATGCCTTGGTGAAGTCAAGATATTTTATGTCCACAGAATATCTATGATCTACTAAGGAAGCTTCTTGATTAAAAAATGAAAGAGAATTAGACCTACAGGGCTTGTTCTTGACAGATCCAAGCTGGCTTCTAGTTGTATTTGCATTAGTGTAAAGGTACCTACAGATGATGCCAATAATCTGCTCTGGAAGCTTCTGAGATGTTGACATCAAACCAAACGGTCCATATTTTCCCAGATTGTCCTTTCTACAAATAGGAAAATTTCCTTTTTCCAGTCCTTAGCAGGATTTCTCAAGGATAATAGAATTTCCAAGAATCTATTTTCTAACTCCTTTGCCATCAGTGGATTCAATCCATCTGGAACTTGGAGTATGAATTCATTTAAGATGCTTAAAAGGCCTTGACCATTCCCCTGTCAACCTCAGACTACCCCTTCAGCCTCTTTGTTACATATCCCAGATGGGTCACTGATCTTTTGGGAGCAGACTGAGCCAAACCAGTACTTGCACCTTTCCTTTTTTCTTTGCTGGTCATCCATTTGCACTAGGTCAATCATCTACTACTTTTGTCCTTTTACTTTAAACATATCAAAACTAGCCATTTTTTGGTGTTCTCAGCATCCACTTTTCCCACCATACCTATGCAGCCTTTGGAAAGATTTCTAAAAGGGGGTCATTTTCTTTTTAGTCCATGAATAATAGAGGGACAAATTCCCCTAGACTTTGTTCCAACCCTAGTAAGATTAGTGCAGAATTTGGACTTGACATGGCACAGTTACCAGAAATTTTGCCTGCCTCTCTGTTAGAAGGATTAGCACTCTTGCCTTCTTCAAAGCTGGAGTCCACAAGCCCTTCTGCAATTAGCAGCAGTCTCACATGAAGGTTGCCATTCACTGCAAGGGGCCAAGGCAGGAAAGCTGCTTGGTACACTACGTTCTATCAACTTATCTGATGCCTGGAGAGGCCAGCGTCCTTTACCTACTGCTAAGAAGGATGTCCTGCAGAAGTATTCAACCCCTTTTGACTTTTACAACCTGGAATTGAAATGGATTTAACTGGTATTTTTATTGCTTGTTTTGCGGAAGATACTCATCACTGTGAAGGTGCAAAATATTGTGGCACAAAAGTAAATAAAAGCAAATTGGCACTTGTGGATGGGGTAATCATTCACCCCCAAGTCAATATTTGGTAGAAACACTTTTGGCAGCAATTACAGCTACCAGTCTTATTGGGAAAGTCAGCCTTGTTCATCTGGATCCTGCAATGTTTGTTCATTCTTCCTGGCAATACTGTTCCAGCTCTATCGGTTGGATCAGGACTGCTGGTAAACAGAAACTTTCGAGTCTTGCCATGAATCCCAATTATGTTGAGGTTTGGGCTTTGACCGGGCAATTCTAAGACATTCAGGTTCTTATTTCTAGAGTGATCCAGTATTATTTTGGCTGTGCATTTAGGCTCATTGTCCTTCTGGAAACTGAACCTCCATCCTAGTCCCAGGTCCCCTGCAAACTGAAACTGGTTTTCCTCCTGGAATTGTCCTGAATTTGACTCCCCCCATCTTCCCTGATTAGTTTTCTAGTCCCAGCCAAGGGAATATATCCCCACAATAAGATGCTGCCCCACATCTCACCATGGGGATGGTGTTTGCAAGGCAATGAGCACAGTTGGCTTTGTGACATGCATATTTTGCAGCAAGACCAGAAAGTTAATTTCAGTCTCCTGGGACCAGAGATCCTCTTTATTTGCAGACCCTCCTGCAGGCCTTTTTGCAGACTCCAGACGGGCTTTCATATCGGTTTGTTCCAGCAATGGCTTTCTTTTCCCTGCTTTTCCATAAACCCGGCATAACGGAGTGTCTGGGTGATCGCCGGCACCTGGACTACTTCTCCCCCCTCAGCTGCAGATCTGTCCAGCTCCTTCAGCGTTACCATTGGCCTTCGGGTTGCTTCTTTGAAAAATGCTTTGCTTACCCAGGCACTGAGTTTTGGATAGCCTTCTCTACACAGAGTTGCAGTTTGGTCATATTTTTCCCCATTTTGTAATAAGGGATTTAAGATTGCTCCGGGGCATGTGCATAGTCTGATGCCCAATTTTTTCCTGGAGCTGTTCCGATAGCTCCTTGGTCTGCATGATGTGGTTTATTTAGGTATGCTCTCCTACAAATTCTGGGCCTTCTGCATTCAATCAGAGGTTATCGTGATGCTCCGGTAAGCTCAGGAAGCAATACACCTCAAAATGGGGGCACGTGCCTTCCTGGAAACCTCAGAGGTTTGGATCTTTTGCAGGGGTCCAATGCATACTGCCCGAGGGGAATGCACTCTGCCCTCACATTCACACAGACACCAAGCTTAGAAAACAAAGGAGAGTTTATTCAGAAGGAAATACAAAGCAGGTACAGACCCTGGTATTGTCTAGGCAGCAATCGTCCTCCGGCAGTCCAGCCTTACTCTATATTTCTAAGCAAGCAAGAGGCTTCTCCCTGACAGCCTTCTGGATACAAGTCGAAAGGAAAAGAGAGGGAGCCAAAGGCTGCTACCGGTCTGTGGGTTGTCCCACACAGTGAACTCTCAGCAGCAGCCCCTTGGACAGGCAGGAGGGGTGCAAGACGTCCACCCCCAGGCTGGGTGACAGGCCCCTGTTCAGAGCTTGCCCACTTCTGTTTTCCAAGCCCTGGTCTTGCACCCTTTCCCCTTGTGTTTGCTTCTAGGGGAGCAGAAAGCTTCCCATTATTTCTCAGACTTATGCTAAGTGCTTGATGGTTACCTGACAGCTCTTGGTGACTGTAGCAATCGATCCGTCTACCTAACCGTGCCTGCTTGCCATTGGCAGAAGGCTGGTCCTTTTGCCTGTGTTTGCTGGCCTCTATTCATAGGGTGCTTACCAATGTCTCGTGCCCCTTCCCTCACCTCTTGGTGATTTATCCTGCTTGCTCAGGACAATGGTAGTCGCCCTTGCAGGGTTGTTTTACTTAATCTCTTTGAGGGGAAATCTTACCTTTTTCTGCAAGAATTCCATCATTCATCATTCATTCTTTCTCATTCACACTGGTTAGCCCAAGTCATGATGTCCCTCCTCCTGAACTCAAGTTTACGGAACACATCTCACGGCCTGGGAGCCTGTCCTTGCAGCACCTGGCATACAACCAATGTTAATACTGATTACATACACATGCCACATCACGTGGCGCTAGAACTGTGCACTGATGGACTTCATGCAACCTACGAATTGTACTCTGGGTTGCCCTAGAGGCTATTTAGGCAAGTCGCAGCAAAGGAGGGGGTGAATGCTGATACAACCACCACTTTCCAGATTTTTTTGTTTGCATAACTTTCCTTCCACAATTAAAAAAAACCACTTTGCACCTTCCCAGTGTTGCATATTTTATGTACATCAAGTGGTAACAATGCCAATTAAATCATTTTAATCCCCGGTTGTCACACAAGGAAACATGGAAAAGACAAAGAGGGTGAATACTTTGCAAGGAATTGACATGATCCACTCAGTTACACAGGTGATCTGTTAGCTTCCAAAGATTAAAAGAATGACTTGGGTATCAAGAAAGAGACAGAAAGGTTGTTATTTTGCTTTTCATGAAGGCAGAGGAAACAGGCAGAGTAAAGCAAGTTGAAATAACATGGACTTCAGCTTCAGACTTCCCTCACTTTTGCTTTACCCCTTGGAATAGAGCAAAACATCATGACAGCCAGTGTGTGCCTGGGGAGACAGGCGCCTGGGGTGAGAGGCACCTAGTCTTCTGAGTCTTCATGGCGATTTATTACTCCTGTAATCCAATCTACATAGTTGGCCACCTTTGTGTAAAGACCATAGGTGCCACATTTTGGTCCCCAAGAAACCAGGCCAGCGACGTAGTAACGTGACTCATTATTGGGGTCCTGGATAGCATATGCCCCACCGCTGTCCCCCTTACAGCTGTCCTGCTGCCCATTCCCAGCACAAATCATATTCTCTGTGAAAACATACGACAAAGAATCTGCGGGAGGATCTGGCTTCACTCTTTCACACATTTCCATGCCCATGACAGGGATATTGGCTAGCCTGAGTTTTACTGAGGCTTTAGACACTTCTGTCCTGCCCCAGCCGGCTACAAAGCCTATGGTCCCCTGTGCAGGATCATATTCCGGAGACGGACCTGGCAGGCAGATGGGTGAAATGGTGGGGCCCATCGTCAAAGGTTCCCTCAGTTTCAACAGAGCAATGTCATTATCGAAGTTTGTCCGAGTGTCCGTCACAACCTTTGCCCAATTTGGATGAATGAAGGAACCCTCCACGTCCAGTGGCTTGACAGTACGCAAGACGTTTTTGCCAACCATGTGCCTCCCAGCATAGATAGTTGGGCTTGGGTTACCATCCAGCACATGAGCTGCAGTAAGAATCCAGCGGTCTGAAATAAGAGCCCCACCACCCCGCGGCTGTTCAAAGTAGATTTGCCAAGGGACCTCTCCTTCATCAGCAATTCTACCTCCGAATATCCTCCCAATTTCGGTGCGTGCTTGGGAAAGTCCACAGACTAGAGCAAGAAGAGAGGAAACAGACAAACATTTTCAAACCCAGGAAGGCAAGAATCCTTTAATCAAACAGCTTCATTTGGAAGCAAGCAAAAACATGGTCCCCTAGAATAGCTCTAGGTTATGGGCTCAGCTGGAAGCAGTTTCGTGGCCACCCAAAAATTGTCCTTTTTTTACTGCAGCCTGGTTACCTTACCCCTAAAACGCGTCGTGAGGCACTGAGAAGGGAGCCTGCACATCCCTGCCCTGGCTCCTGTCTCTTGATGACTGCATAGAGTGTGATGCCACAGTGTGACAAAGTCCCATAATCTAAGATGGGGAGACATTTCGCATTTGCGTAAAATGCCTGCTGGGTGCTTGCCCGTTCTCGAAATGGATGTTGAGGTGGGCATGGTCCATTGCCCAATTCCAGCAACAAGCAGGCAAGGCTAAAAGACAGCGCCCCCGGTTTAGAAAATCGGCACAAGGAAACAATGTAAGAATCCAGGCAGGTCAGAAAGACTGGACGGTGCTGGAAGGATGACTATGGATGCTCCCTTGGGGCTGTCAGATCAGAGGGATGGTTTTCAGATGTACGGTGTTGCTGCCAAGACTCGGTATGACCAACTGGGCATCTGTCTGAGATGTTTGGGCATTCAGGACTTACCCAAGACCATTCTCAGTATGCAGCAAGGGGCCCTGGACTGCTGCACAGTGGACAGCACTGATCTTAGCCTGCAGCCAGGTGCAAAACCAGAAGGCGGGGGCAGCGAGGGCGGGTATAACCGGGTAGCTCCAGGCCCCGCATCTGTCTCACTTTTTCTTGTGGTTGGATGCTCTCCCCATTCTCCACATTGCCTCTTTGGCCCCTTCCTGTGCCACAATCTTCATTCATTCATACATACATACATACATACATTGCATTTATGTACCACCCCAATAGCTCAGAGGGCTCTCTGGGTGGTTTACAAACATTAAAACCCCACCAATTGGCTATACCACAATGGAGTATAAAATAGCATGGTTAAAATGAATTAAATAAATAAATATACCATTAAAATGAACTAACTTTAAAATATTGGTTAAATAAAAAGGCCTTGACCTGGTGCCGAAAAGCATATAACAACAGCACCAGGCGGACCTCTCTGGGGAGCACATTCCATAGTCGGGGCGCCACCACAGAGAAAGCCCTCCTCTGGGTACCCTGTCTCCCAACCTCTTTCAAAGAGGGTTCCCAGAGGAGGATGTTGGATATCCCAAGCTCAGCAAAATAGCTCCCAAGAAGAACTTCCCAAGTGGGGCAGCCTATGGGTGCTCCTAGCAGGGCTGGGGCTTTGGAACCCAAAGCTGTTTAAACAAGGGTACTTCCGGATGGAGGGCTCCTAACCCTCCCAAGCAAAAGACACTGTGCAGTGGCGCTCTCTCTCTCTTTCCTTTAACAGGTTGTCTGTGAGAAGGAAAAAAGAGCAGGGGTGGTAGGAAAACGCAGGATGGTGTCGAGTGCAAGATGACCATGTCTGGATTTCTCCACAAAATTCTGTGAATGAGGGAGAGGGCAGCAACAGAACGTTCTTGTCTGGAAGCATCTCAGAGGCGATCCAGAGCTTAGCAAATCACTGACACTGGTTTAAAAAAAGTCTGAATTACTGACGGAGTTGAAGAACCTTTCCTGTTGCAGGAAATTATACTTTTTAAATATGTGTAGGGTTTTCTGTAAGCTCGAGAGAAGCAGTGGAGGAGAGCAAAAGCGATTTGATCACAAAATCTGCATTAATGAGAGAGAGAGACACAATTGTATGTTGTACCTGGGATACAAACTGGAAGGTCTGTCTTCTCATCTTTATCCACCCATTTCCCACTGGCTGAGCATCGATAGACTCCTTTGAAAAGAAGAAAATATAGCAGTACTGTTAGTTCTTGTTTTGTTTTTAATCCATATTTGCAAAAACAGATACAGGGCTGGCCACCAGGACCATCATCCACTGGTGCCCCCTGGCTGTTTTCCTGCTGGCTCCTGGGATTCCTGCAAAGAAGTTGGCCCAGCAAAGCTCTTCCAATGTGCCTAAGCAAGAACATTAGAAAAAGCACTTATTACAGATGAGTTTTGCCTTAACTACTACAGGATGCTATGCAGAAGGATCCATTTCAGCTGCTATAGTTCATTAAATCCTACACTGAGTCTGTCAATAAAATGAAAGATTCCACTTGTGGTGATAGCACATTTACGGACGCAAAATGAGTGCAAACCAGCCCAAAAAGGTCCACAAAGCCAGCAGAATGATATACAGGAAAGCCCTTGCTTCATCTTTATAGTTACAGACGTTTCCTTGCTTTTCATTATGAAAAGGTTTGGTCCCTAGAGAGCAGGCAGTAAGAGGAGGAAGCAGGTCCTCCCTTGCTGTTGTCCTGTGCCATCAAGTCATCTCTGACTGATGGTGACCCTCTGAACGAAAGTCCTCCAAAATGTTCTGACCTTCACAGCTCGGCTCTTCTAAGTTCAAGGCTGTGGCATCCCTGATGGGGTCAACCCATCCCATATTTGGGGATCCTCCTTACTGAGAAAACATACGCAAATACTCTTTAATGGGTACTGTCACAACAATCCTATTCCTAATTCTGCCCCTGAGGGGGCACTGCCATAAACTGAGCAAAAAGATGCCCCTCTCGAGCCCTGGATCACATGCAGTTTCACACTGGGAAGGATGGGAAACCCACCATCTCCTTCGTCCTTCAGCGTATAATAGGGATGCTTGCATGAATAGCGGATAGTGGCTTCATACATGGTTGCCTCAGATCCTGATAGAAAAGTGACATCTCCATTTCGAAGCTCATCTGGCATGCCACAGTCCACAGCTGCAAGGAGGAGAGGAGAGGAGAGGAGAGGAGAGGAGAGGAGAGGAGAGGAGGGTTAGAGTAGCTTCCTCACCTGTCACCTGCTCAGCATGGATTTCCAGTTTCCCCTTCTCCCACCTACTATGTAGCCTTTCTGTCCCCATCCCCTTCTCCGTCCATTTCTTGGAATAACTGTCTGGGCCTAGAATAGCATTAATGCACCCTCCCTACCAGAAAATCCCCAAGTAGCAGCACCTCAAAGCAACACAAACAACAGCTTTGAAGCCTTGTTGCAAGGAGGACCCCTATTCTGGCTAGCATATTCTTTGTGGACCACCATATTGTCTTCCCTGACCACCTTCACAAAGAAGGACCCTCCTTCTTTATGGCTGAGATTCACTACAGCTATTGAGGAGCACACAAACACACCAGGAAGTTTCTGTACAGTTTCCAGTGCACGTGCTTACACTGATGAAGAGGCAAGCTGCTTTCCCCCCTGAATTTAGAACTAAAAGCTGACTTTCCTCTTTGGGATGTGGTCAAAACCTCAAAGAGCTCCCTCTCCCATACATTGCTCCACAGTCACTATGATCGCAGGACCACCTGCAAGCAGACAACTGGTGGGTCACACAAGACCCATCCATGGAATCCATACTTACGAACGCATCTTTGGTCAGAGCTGCTCCACTTCCCATTGCTTTGACAGCTAGCATAGAAGGATCGAAGGCTGCCGTGTGGCTGAAGGGAACAGAATGCAAAGAGACAGGCATTAATTGCCTGACTGAGAACTGCCCCAGAATTACAGTCTCTCCCCTTTCTTGCTGCCTTTCTTCCATGCTCTCCTGATTGCTCTGTCTTGCAGACAGTGGATGGGGAGGAGCGAAATGCATCTCCAAAGGAGGTGGAGCACTGCACTCGCTAACAGGGTTGCTGGCGTTTCACCTGCCCACCACAAAGCCTGATCACGTCTTCACATGTTCCCTCTTGTCTTCCTGCACCCATTCCAGCTTTCTCTCCTCTGTCCCCCTGCCTTCCACTTCCTCTCATCCATCTCACCTCTCGCACTGTTGACATCAACACGGCAAGCTCCACATGGGAGGAGACCTGCCATTTCCCCTTACATTTCTATTTCAGGTACCATGTGCATTGCTGCAATTCTGTTACTTGTTGAGGGTTAAGAGGATGATCTGGGGAAGAAACTGGGAGGGCAAGCAGGAAAAGCAGAGCAGACAAAGCAGCTGGAAGATCTCCTGTTCTAAGGGCTGCAAGGGCCCCTCCCACAGCCTCTACAAAGCCAATAGCCAGGGATCTCAGGAAGTGAGGAAGGGGCTCCAATCAGCACCCCTGCAACCCCCAGCTACCCACATCCAAAGAGGCAAACTGCAGGCAGCTCCAGCTGCAAAGCTGATATCCATAATCCTGCACACCTAGGAAAACTGGTGCAACTGGAGTGTGGGGGGCAAAGTGGTGCCTCCAGCAGGGAGGCAGATCTCACGTCTGGGCAGCCCCTCTGCGGGGAAGGCCTCCCGGTTCTCCTTCAGTGACACCAGCCACCAGCTGTACCCAGCCTGTGCTGGGCTGCCACTGCATCGCCAAGTTCCTCGCCCCTGGGGCATATACGGTGCTGCTGACTTGGAAAAGATCACCCAGTACCAGCGGAGACCCCCTGGAGTGCCAGCAAGAGGTTTATGGAGCGCCTTCCTGTGGCGTGGGTGGACCTACCAGCACAATCTCATGGCCTTCGACACAAGTCACCATCACAGTATCCTTAACGACATAATGGTCTCTTACGGGATCCAGAACAGAGTTTGGAGTAACCTCCTGTGGACAGGGAATTGCTTCGAAAGGGGAAAAAATGATATGAGTGACCAGCCAGTGAATCATGACAGGCACACACTTGATGCACAACAATCAGCATTCCAGGCCCATTCTCCCTTCCGTGGGGCTTATGTAGTGTCTTCTGCCCGAGCCATTGCCTGTCTCCTCAGAGAAAGTCAGCCATGGCTTGCGGGGCATTCAGCCGGAGCACGGTCTCTTCCCCGATGGGCTCCGAAGACACTCTCCCTAGATATAGTGCCCCCCCCACAGAAATTCAGGACCCCTGGTCTTCCCCGCTGCCCCCACTGTCAGCTCTAGTGGGACTGAATGCCGGCCAGGGGGCCAGTGGTCAACCAGCCCTTTGCAGCTACCAGCTCAAAAATTCTACCAGCAACAAAATGGATTTTCCAGCCTTTCCCATATCCACTCTTGACCAAGCACCCCCAACTCCAGCTGCTTCAGGAAGAGGCAGCCTGCATCTGGAAAAGGCTGCTTTCTGGCCTTGAGGAAGGGCAGAACAGCCACCTCCTCTGAGCTGCACTTCCCAGGTGAAACTGTGTACAGGCAAGCAGCTTACACTGTGTCCCAACTTCATTTATTGCTCCATGTTATGATGTTAGAAGATCAGAAGAGCCATGCTGAATCAGACTGAGGATCTGTCAGGTTCAGAGTTCTCTTCACGCATTAGCAAGTTCAGCCCCCCCACCCTCACCCCCCAAAAACCCTGGTCTTGTTCTTCAGCACCTGAAGCACGTAAACGTATCACCACTGATACTGGAGGTAATGCATAGCCATCGTGACCGATAGCCATCCGTGACCCCATCCTGCATGAATTTGCCTTATTTTGCTTGACAGCCATCAAAAATAGTAGCCATTGCTACATCTTGTGGTATTTAATTCCATGAATGCAGTATTTGCTACCTTTAAACGTATTTGTTTTATCTGTTTTGAATCTCCCATTTTGAAGTTCCAGGGAATGACTTCTGGTTCTAGTATTATGAGAGAAGGAGAAACTATCTACCTGTCCACGTTCTCCATATCATGCACCATTTTATGCACCTGCTTCCTATCTTCTTTCTCTAAGCTAGGCAGTCACACATGTTGTAACCTCTCCTCATAGGATGGTTGTTCCAGCCCTTTAATCACTTTGGTTGTCCTTTTTTGCTCCTTTTCCGATCCTTTTTAGGTGCCAGGACCAGAAATGTACTCAGTATCCAAGTCAGATCATGCTATAGATGTCTATAAAGGCAGCATAATAGAGGCAAGGTTTGTTTTTACCTCAGTTGCTTTCCTGATTATGGAATTCGGAATTCAGACCATGGAATTTGCCCTTTTTACCACAGCTGCATACTGGGTCAACATTTTTATCTAACTTGCTTCACAATTCCAACATCTCTTTTTGGTCAGTCACTTCTAGTTCAGATCCCGTCTGTGTACAAGTGACGTTGGGATTTTTTGCCTCGATATTTCACACTTGTTTCAACTGCATTCACCATTTTAATTCCTATTCTCTCCAGTTCAGGATATGCTTTTGGTACGCTTCACAATCCCTTTAGAGTTTAATCACCCTATATAATGTGGTGCTAAGTTTCATTTGGCTGATTCCAGATCATTTAAAAACATTTTTTTAAATTGATTTTAATACAAACCGCTGTGGAACCCCGGAGGGAGACTTTGCCATTTATTTCCACTTTCTGCTTTCTATCTTTAACCCAGTACAGATCCATAACAGGACCTCTCCTCTCATTTCATGATTGCTAAGTTTGTTCAGGAGTCTTTGATGAGGGACTTCGTTAAAGGCCTTTGGGAACTCCAAATAATCTCTGCCAACCAGGTCATGCCTGTCCACATGTTTATTTTCACTCTCAAAAATGCTTAAAGTTTAGTGAGACAGGACTTACCTCTGTAGAAGCCACATTGTCTGTTTGCTTCTATAGTCTCGTTCATTTTATCTTTAATAATGCTTTTAACCAGTTTACATGGAACAAACATTACTAGGTGACCTGTAATTTCTGGGAACCTCCCCCCCTACCAAGATCTTTTTTAAAAAATTGGTGTTACATTGATCATTCTCCCATATAGAGGCTGATCGGGTATGAACAGGAAGGGGAAGAGGCAGCTTTTTTCTCAAAACAAGACACAGGGCTAAATCTCTCTCTCACCTGGACCCGTAATGACCAGAGGATAATGGAGGAGGGAAGCAGAAAGACAGCGATTAAACCCCTTTCCCAAATTTTGATGTGCCACCTTAAAGTAAGAACTTAGTTTAATCTAGTTTTGTATGATTTAATTATTGATTCCTGAAAGGAGGGATAAAAAGGATGCCCTAAATCTCTGAATTTTAGGATCCTTTCAGTCCAGGAAAGACTCTCACTGCTCAGACAAGCAGTTTTTATTCCTCCCTTTTGCCTCCCTTCCTGTTCCAGAGCACGTATCTTCTGTACTGGATGTCCAGCCATTTGTAAAGATTTATCTGTTCCTTAATGCCCATGTCTCCATCCCATAGTATGCCACAAGTTCTCCACATGGGGGTATCTACTCACGCTCTGCAGAATAGCGGATTTTCCAGCCCCTGTCTTGCATTGTTTGGTCTGTTTGGAACAAGATGTCGACGATATTGCTTGTAGTCTTGATTTCTGGAGGACCGGTGAATACACTGCCACAGTAGGGACCAAAACGCTGATCCCCTGCTGTGAACTAAAAGAACAAGCAATAAGAATAATGGGCAAATAGGACGGAAAGCAAAGATGCATAAGAAGCTGTCCAAAGAACAGGAGATGCATGCAAGATGTGGAAGAAGTTAGGAGGGAAACAAATCCTACATGACGTACATGTTGACGGCATGGTGACGGCAGCTCTCAGAAGGATTGCTCGGTGCATGAGCGTGAGAAGTGGCGATTTTGCACGTGAGTGTGAGTCCATGTCTTGTGTTTGAAAGATGAAGAATAGACCCAAGGGGCCTTTCTACATCAAAAACTCAACACAAGTAAATTACTGAAACAGTGAAATACATTTAATGAAATAAAGTGCCAAGTCCTTGCCTATCATTCCAGTTACGGGCACTCATTGGAAAGAGTCCTGGCATCTCACAGAACAGTTAGTGTCTGTCTGTCTGTCTGTCTGTCTTTCCTTCTGTACTTACTTACATGTATTTATAGGCCGCTTATAATTGCCAAGGCCTTCTTAGGTGGCTTAAAATGCATAACACATACTAACAGTTGTTTCTTCCTGAGCAATTGGACATAAAGTCTTGCCCAAATGGCTCGTACTGTCCTGTTTCCTTCACAGAATTTTATGGGGGTAAATCGCAGGTAATTCCAGCCAGCTTTGTTACACGAGGCTGTTATCCCGCCCTCTCTACTTCCCGTTTCATCGCAGTAGAGATCCAAGTGTTACCGGAAGAGTTCCCCATGTGCCCACCCGCCCCTTCAGATCGGAGGCAGAGGTCCTTCTCCGGGAGCCCCCTTTGAAGGAGGTTAGGAGGGCAGCTACTCTGAGAAAAGCCCTTTCAGTGGGAGGCTCGCCTGGAGCCATCACTTTATTCTTTTTGGTGTCGGGCGAAGACCTTTTTATTTTCCCAATATTTTAACAGTTAATTGGTTTTATCCTTGCTTTTATCATCATTGATCAGATGCAGTGTGTGGTTTGTTGTATATGATTGCTTTGTGGTTTTGTTTTTTGTAAGCCATCCAGGGACTTTTAGTATTGGGGCAGCATATAAAAACTTTAAATAAATTAAATTAAATAAGATTTCCTTTCCATCTTCTGCCCTACATCACCTCATAACCTCTGTATAACCTCCAGTGCAGTGCAGTGTGGAAGGATAGTGCAAATGAACAAGAAGTTGTGTTTTCTTTCACTTTCACATTGCTGCATTTTTCCTGCTCCAAGCGGACTTGCTGACAGTGGTAGTCGGATACAGAAGCAAAACTGGAGGGTCATGTCACCATCTGAAGAGAACCCGTAAGCACCCATGAGTAGGGAGTGATGCACACACAATAAATGCCTTGCAGAGAAAAGCCTAAACTCCCTGCTCCTTTCTTTCCAGAACTAAAAGTGCTTGTTTTTCCTACACGCTTGTAAGGCACAGATCTCAGACCCCACATCCCATTGGTGAGCTGGTCATTCCAGAAAGCACCCACAACTCTTGGAGGAATATTCCCTTCCTCCTCCCTTTTCCATCAGGTGACATTATAGGCAAAACCATCAGGATAAGCACATTCACATGAATCGGACCATCCAAACAGGGCTTGGATTTCCACTGGCAGTGAAGCTGATTTAATCTAAAATCCATTTAAATCTCAGGGCTGAAAATGGCCACTTCCCCCTCTGGTGGGCTCTAGCCTTCCTGTCTGCTGCCCAGCTGCCGGCTTCCTCCCTTTATACCAGGACGGTGGCCCATGTGGGACGGAGACCCCCTTCGGCCCCCGTCATACACTTGCAACTTAAGCAAGTGAAGGCACATGCATGCCAAGCCTTCACGGTGCCCCGATGCCGCCCTCCGCCCACATGTGCTGCTATCGCCTCTTGTCATGAGCGGAGTGTCCCCTCCCAAGCAAGACAGTCACTCGAGCACTTCTTGTGAGAGTTTTATTCTGCACAGGAAATCTAAGCATTCACAAGTCTCTGAGCATGCACAAGGAGAAGTGTTGCCCCCTCTCTGCCCCCCTTCTCCCAAAGCTTTGCTTATGGACCCTTCGGGGTCGGGCTCTGGAAGGTGGGGTGCTGTGAAAACAGGCCTGTCTGTGCTCTGCACTGAGCCCCTAATTGGTCCAGCCTGCAGCTGTGAAGATGGGCCCCGAGGTCCATGTTTTCAGGAGGCTTGGGTTCTCCATCCGAGACATCTCCCCCCTCCGTCCTTCATCTGCCTCATTCCCACAGGCAGGAGGCAGACTGGGCCCCCTGGCTGTCCCTGAGCTCCTTTCATCCAGAGCAGGCTTGGACTGGCAATGCCGGGGGGGGGGGAGTGCAGGGGGGGGAGTGCAGGTGCCAGCCACTCTCTCACAACAGCCATTCCGCAATCAGAGGGTGAGCTCTGAGCCTGGTCAGGCTCAGCCATCCCCGCATCATCCTCAGAGTCTGAGCTATCAGTGCCACCAAGACAGACCGTTTCTCGTGCATGCCTGGGAATCTCCTCGGATCGTGTGCACCCGACATCCCTCCATGGCTGGCTAAGTTGGAGAGCAAACAGGAGCAAAGCCCTGGCGGAGCAGGCAGGAGCCAAGAGCCGGGACTGTGCCAGAGCCAGGCACCGTGTGTCCCTGGTCCCTGCCCAAGCCCAGCACAAACCCCCACGGCCAGTGCCACTGGGGGACGCAGGCCTACCCCGCAGTTCCTAGGGGCACACGGCTGAGAAGTGTTCTGAGCAGCAGTGGGGAGACCCCAAACACTCAGGAGCCCTCCAAGCCATCACTCACCGTTAGGCTGTCCACGCAGTTGCCATCCATGTCCGGGGCCTCAATGCTGAAGTCTTTCCCGATAGTCAGAACCACGCGGTATCCTGACTCCAGAGCAATACGGTAATCACAGTTTGAGTTCTCAGGATAAAGACCGGGGTAGTTGGGGCTGGCAATTTCCCCAGAGAGTTCAGTAAAAACGTTCCCAGAGCAGTTCACTGGAGTTTAGGGAAGAGGACACAAAGAGCAGCCAAGTTAGCTGACACTTTTTTCTTGGAGCTGGCACCCCAAGGCCGTTCCAACATCCTTTGCCCCCTTGTGCTAAGGCCTTGCTATGCAGCAAAGATGCAAGGGCAGCAGGCCTCAATCATACTGAACCCTCAAGTGCATGTCTGAGCAGGCAGGTGCCATCCCGTGTTTCTGAGGATTCTTTCGGCCAAGACATTCCTCAGAACAAGGACAGGCCCCTCAGCGATAGTGGCTGGGCCTTGATACCGCTTTCCTTGCCTAATTCTCACTATTTTTCTCCAAATGTTCAGTCTGAGACAAAAATGCTCCTCTTACAATACAGGTTCGTTTTAGAATGAGCAAATAGTACAAATAATCATTTATTTTTCTTAGGAACATAGAAGCATAGAAACAGAGCGAGTCAGAAGGGACCTTCAGGGCCATCTAGTCTGACCCCCCAGCCCCAGCCAGCTCTGCTCATGACATGCCTACCATGTGCTTGTCCAGCCTATCCTTGAACACACCCACCGATGGGGCTTCTCGTCATGCTGTGGCACCCTTTTCTAAACTGCAAAGAAAACCCTCTCTCAAAAAATACAGATCCCTCCAAAAAGCAGAGGAATGCTGTCTTTATAACTCTGGTATTATCAGTGAGGCTTTAAACAGCTCCATACGTCCTCCGCACATCGCTGCTTCCAGCTTTGTAACAGGCACTCTAAATTCTTTACCTTAATTCTGTGAGTTAGTTTATGGCTATTTAAGCAAATGTAACTGTTTTGTTCTCACTCTGCATAATTTTAGCTATTTAAATAGTTCATTTTCATAAAATCACTAGGAGAGACAGAAAATAACAAGGAAGAGACATAAGGTCTGCCTTTAGCGGTTGGAAATGTTATTCAGCCACCCTGGTGTTGAAGTTTTCAACACACTTTCAAGCATATCTTCCAAACATAAGGGCTACAAACTTACTCTTGAAGAGAAGAAAAAAAGGGAAAGCAGATATTCTAGGGGAGATGAACAGCCAGTGCATTGTAGGCCCAGTGTGTCCTAGCATGCATTTTGCAAGATTAAATTGCACCATATGCTAGGTTCTGACTTCAAACTGTTGGTTTTGTTAATCGCCTGTGTTGATCTGCACTCCAGCAAGTTTGTACATTCCCGCTGAGTATCTTTTTCTCTGTGTGCATTGTTGGGTTAAACTGGATCTCCTGTCTTGCATTTTAAAAATAAGAAAAATAAACACGTTTAAAGGGCAGGGAACAGTCCTCCAGTGCCAAGAACTCGAACGTAGCTATCAGGACTCTTGTTTTCACTGGGCTCGGTGGAATCGCTCCTGAAATTCCACACCCCATGAACATTTTGTGTGCCTCCGCCTTTTGGCCTGCTGCTGCCCCACTGCATTAACATGTTTCTAAGGTTAAAGGGCTCTAAGTAGTGAAAACTCAGTGGCGTCCCCCTAGATTACCCCTCACTGCCCCATTAAGCTAATATATGATGCATTATTCATATATTAGTTCTTTATCTGCTTTTAATAAAAAGCAGTTAAACTTTTAAGCCTTTTTCAGTTTCCTAATTTAATCCCAGTTTTAAATTTAGAAGGATCTTGGCTCCCAGTGTATCACTCTAATTATTTAACTGTATTTTTTAATTTTGTGATGCTGGTTGCTTTCTCTTTCCTCGTGAAAAACTGCAGCCCCTCCCGCTCTATCTGCTTCTGTGGATCTTTGTCTTCTGAGTAGGCTGCTTAAGTTCTTCCCAGGGGAGGGAAGGCTTTGCTGTTACCGGGGGCCATACAGAGCTAACACTCACCACTACACGTTTTCTGGTCCTCCTGCAAGAAATATTCTGGTGGGCAAGAGCAAAAGTAGCCCCCGATGTAGTTATTGCAGTAATGGCTGCACGGCTCTTCCGCAAAATCTATGCACTCATTCATATCTGCAAGAGAGGGAGGGAGATGAAAGGAAGAATCTCTGCGGAATAACAGAAAAGACATCCCAGCTGACTGCCACTAGCGTATGCCGCCTTGGCACCAACTTTCAGATGAGTCCTCCAACCTCCCATAAGCGTTCATACCTGCTCTCTGATAGGTAAGGCCCCAGTCCCAAACAATACATGTGGATATATGGGATCTACAGTAGAATTTGGTAGCAGTCTGTAGATAGGACAAAGGGGGAAAGATAGCAACAGCCCCAGTGGATCTTGACCAACTTGATGTTTGCTTCCAGAGAACCAGCCCAAAGCCTTCCGTTTGCATGACGGTGCCTTGTTGAGCCGAAGGACGTCAGATGGGCTCCAAACCTATCTCACTTGAGAGGCCTGGTCCTCGATCCACTTTGTAGGCCCCTTGTTCTCTGGGGAGGGTCTACTGTGGAATCTCTTCCCCAGCTGGTGCCCCTGTCTTCCAGCACAAGAACCCACATGGATGGCTCACGAAATATACACGCGATAATGGCTCCGTCCCTCCTTTTCAGGCACTAATATCCCACACATTTTGGTCACTATTGGTACCTAACATTATCAGGCACAAGGACATAGCATTACTCCACTGCTGCACAGCCAGGTCAGCTTCTGGGACAATAAGGCCTGGGATCAGTTTGGCCAACAGGGTGGTGCAGTCCTGGAGATCTGCTTATCAGCACCAGCTTCCCTTCCTCTCTCCCCTGCTGGCTTTTCAACTAGAGGTACACTGAGGGAGGACAGCGTTCCCTTCTGAGGCCACATGTCCAAACATTTCGCTTAGATTTTGTGCTTTATGTCAATTTTTATTGAATTATGTTATTTATACATGTGATTTTATCGTATTTCAATTTTACGGATCATGAGCCGTCCCGAGATGCCAAGGCATAAGGGACAGCATACAAACGGTTTAAATAAATAAATAAATAAATTTCAGGCCATACATGACAGTTCCCCTGGAGCAGCCAGATTCCTGGTTAAGTGCTGGCTCGGTAACCTGGGTAATTATTGAAACAAACTACTGCCGTGGAACCTGGGGGCTTGCCATGCATGCCAGAGGCAAGCATCCCTTTCTGGAAACAGTAAATACAGAACAGGCACTGATTTGGCCTGTGATGCTAACATCGCTATACTTAGAAGCAAGGGAAAAAGTCACCAGACAAATGCTCTTAATATGCCACACTGTTTAACCATTTAATGTTGGGTATATCTAGAAGGCTTTTGCAATGTGCCGAGGATCTTGCTTGCATGCTCCTGTTGACACCTGTTCTCAAGGCACCTCTGGAAGGCACTGCTATAAAGCTCTGAAGGTCAGGGGGCTTTGCTTACCCTGTGCAACATAATAGGCAGCGAACCCAGTAAACCTCTCTTCGTTGGAAAAGTCGGACTGGAAGGTGATGGTCAAGCTATTGTAGGGGAAGTGGAACTCCTCCAGGATAGCCGTGCCAGGAATTTGGCTTGACTTCTGCCCACAGAGTTGTCCCTCAACTTGGTTACCGGACAGGATCTGAAAGGGACGGGGGCACAAGTCACTTCACTGGTCTTCACTGGTGAATATTCCTAGCTGACATAAATAGGGGTGGGTGCGTCCTCACACATGGAGTGACATCCACAGCGTGACACACACTGGAATGAGAACAGCATACTTTGGTTGTACGCTCTGCTGCACAGAGTTCCCCAGAGCCATTTCTCAAAGGATGACTGAGGAAAGGAATATTGTCAGGTAGGCCGAGGCGGAGTTACCCTGAGACACTGCCTCCACCCAGCCCCCTGGCCTTGCTGGGGAGTCAGTGCACTGAGCTGCCATTTCCTATCTCTTCGTGGCACCTCAGACTCATTTGGCTTTTTGACACCCTCCCCCACACTGACTTTTAATTTAAGCTCGGCTTTGGTTGCCAACTTGGTGCTTTGTGGGGAAAGTAAGATGGCGGCCAAATGGGGGCATGAGCTCGGTGCCCATCGGCATAGCTGCTTCCATGTGGCAAATACAACGGAGGAAATGGTAGGAATGCAGGCGGACATGGAAAAGTTTGTTGCCCCCACTATAGGGCAGCAGTATTTCAAATAACTGACATGAGTAGACAACAGGAAAGGGGAGACCAAGAGCAGAGAAGTGGGAACATGTAAGAGGGCCCTGCTGGCATCAGAACAGGGAACAGGCAGGTCTGCACTGCAGGCCGAATCCCAGCGTGTTCTCTTGCAGCGCTGTGGGCAGGTGCTGCTGTGCCCTTGCCGAGCCTCCATTCAGGTCAAGGAAGGCTTGCCCAGGAGGAAAAAAACCCGGTGGATTTGGCCATATGCTTGTCATGGGGGGCAGGGGGTGCCAGTTGGGTTTTCACATTTTTTTGGATGGTCCTGGGATATCAGCCTTGTAGGAGAGCACCATTCTTTGCCATTTAGGCAAAGTATATTACCAAACTTCAGGCCCACAGGTATATATTTTGTGAAAGTTGAGGGATGGGGAATAATTGCAGACAAGCTAGAACCCAAATACAGGAAGCTTGGTACTTTACCACTTCTTTAGGCTTCAATCCAAACAAACTTACCAGAGATACTAAAAATGCAAAATACCTGCACAAATTATATTACTTCTTAGTGAGCAGCTGGGTAAAATACATGCTCTTCCTTGTATTTCTGCAAGTGAATGGACTATTTTTAATGAAAATTGAATATCTGGGGAGGGGACTGTGAGATCTTCGAAATGTGGCTAAATTCTTGGCTTAAAGATACACTAGGACAGAGAAATCAGTGCAAAAAAGACAATGTGTGGATACAGGTAGCAGATATATGTGCTAGAAGTTATTTAGCTGCATTGTTTATTAATGTATATTTATACAGTATAGCCTGATCCTGTCTAATCTTGGAAGCTAAGCAGGATTGGGCCTGGCTAAACTCTGGATGGGAGACTTAAAATGTTGCAAACCATGCAGAGAGCTTCAGTGATCGGTGGTAGAAATGTAATGGAATAATACTACTACTAAACTTTTTTGTTGTTGCTTGTGTTATGAGCTCATCAGTCATTTCACTGTCTTTGCACTGAGCGTGGTATAGAAGATGGGGACTACATTAAGGTCCTGGTTGCTGTTGTTACAATGCATTTCTATCCCACTTTTTTCCTCTTTTGAGGAACCCACAGTAACTTAGCTCCATTTTTTCCTCAAAAGAGCAGCTCTGTGAGGGAGGCTGGGCTGAGAGTTTGTGACTGGCCCAAAGCCACACAGTGAACATCATGGCCAAGTGGGGACTAGAATCCGGATCTCCTGGAACCCCCGTCCCCCACTCTCCCCACCACACCACTCTTGGTCCTCAAAGCTCGTCATCACTTTAAAAACTGAGTAATGGGTCTATTGTCCAAGGCATTTATGGAGGGACAAAAGAAAAGTGTGCCTGGACACAGACATTCAGCTCTCTAAAAAAACCTGCCAGCCATTTTTCACGGGAGAAGCAGAAGCTGCACCTCGCCTTCCCCGCTGTGCTCCTAAGCACCATGGTGCAGCTCGGGTGCAAAGCTCAGTCTGACAGACGTGCCCACTGCCCAGTTCTCCTCTTTCAGTCCCTGTCCTCACCCAGGGGGTGACCCTTTACCTTCACAAAGTCATACTCGCAGTTTTGAGATGGCTCGATATCCAAATGGGTGAAGTAGAGATGGATGCCATAACCGGGAGGAACATTTATTTTCCAGGATTCCAGAGCATCGTTGGGATATGCCTGAGGATAGTTCGGAGACAGAATTTCTCCATACATGGTGGTTGCCTCTGCATGGGCCAGGAGGAAGCAGGTGATGACGTACCTGGAGAGCAAAGTGGGAGACTGAGAGTACCCTCAGCCAGCCTCATCTGGAAGGCTGGGTTGCACCTCTAGCTATGCAAGAGTAAGGCAAGGCAGAGCAGTTCCGGTGCCTGAGGTGGGTGACTGAGGGTCCTGGCCAGATGCTGTTCCCCTTGGGGTGCAGCCTAGCCCTGCAGATGCTCAGAGGCAAAAGAGGAGAGCAGGTGAGCGGCATCCCTTTAGAGATGAAGAGACCTGAGCAGCAAGACCCTACCAGGGAAAGGATGCAAATCTTGGCATGCCCCCCTCCCTGCCTCCCCCAAGTGGCCCTCCAGCAAGTCCTTGCTGTCCAGCGCCCCACACAGAATCATAGAATAGTAGGATCCGAAGGGGCCAAGAAGGCCACTGGGTCCAATCCCCTGCTGGTGCAGGGCGTCCATTACATCTTCTAGTATGCGAGAGCCCACCACCCCTCTTGGCAACTGGCTCCACTCCCGTATTGCTCTGACAGGAAGTTCTTCCAGCTTTCCCTTGGGCACCCAGTAACTTACCACCTCTGCAGAAGCTCCATCTTGGCTTCTTCCTCAAAGCCACAGTGGATGGAGTACAGCAGACAGGATCAAAGCAATCCACTGCTTGGCGGGCTGCTTGCTTGCTTCCTCCCTCGGAGAAGACCTGGTTGCAGGAGAATGAAGTGAAGAGGCAGCTCCCAGAGAGCAGCGGAACCAGCAAGCGCACCGCGCCTCACGCTTACTCGGCAAGGAAACGGCAGCGGGACTCTCTGTAACCCGATGCCCCCATGCCTACAATGCATCTTCTTCCTTCCCCATGTAAACCAACGGCTGGGCCCCACTTGGAAGCACCTGACCCAGGTCCTGATATTCGGAATATCAACTTCTAGAAAGGGTTTTGAGAGAGGGTTACCTTTCCTCCTTGCCTCTGAACTGTTTCTCTCGCCGTCTCGCTATCTCCCTCTTCATATCCCACAGCAACGCTTACCCACGGTCCGCGGCATGAGAAGATTAGCGAATGGCAGCGCTGCAGCGCCCTCTGCTGCCGGAGAGTTGCACCCCTCGCTTCACCAAGAGAAAACGGAGCTCGAACGCTGAAATTGCACAATCCCCTTTTTGGGCCAGGCTCAGGCCCTGCTGTGGGGAAGGCTGGGCCATTTCGAACCGAAGTTTTCAGGGAAGTCAGGTGACTTCTAGGAAAAGAGCGGGTGCGGGAAATTCCAAATTCCCATCTGAAAACAAGTTACAATATTACACAATCACAATGGAAGATTGCCTTAGTTTAAATCATTGACCTGATCATCAGTTGACCTTCTGTTTAATCTTGTTATAAACACATAACACAGGCAACATATTCGCAGAGTTTCACTCGCAACCAACTTTCCAAAGGGACAGCTAAATAAACAGAAACACTTAGTGCACAAAATGCTAAAACAGATTGTTCTTTCCAATGCCCTATGCGATTACCTAAGTAAGCAGTTATATATATCCCCAGTACAGAGCGAAAGCTTTCTTGAGATTTAGGAAAATCAGTTATTTTCTTTGATGACGCCTTCATTTGCTGCAGGAGCCTAGTGTAATTTCAGCACGCCCTTCTATAGCAGACTGCCACCTTGTGTTGTGTAATGGAATATACAGGAAGGCAGAGCAGTAAATCATGCAGGGGGAAAGACCGTGTAAAAGAATCATAGAATAGCAAAGTTGGAAGGGGCCAGAAGACCACCGGGTCCAATCCCCTGCTACTGCAGAACACTAAGTTACACCATCCCATTCAGATGACTGTCCAAATGCTGTTTGAATGTTTCCAGAGAGGGAAACTTGCCTAGCTAATAGCTTTCATTGTCATACTGCTCTGAAAGTCAGGAAATGTTTCCTGGTGTTTAGTCTAATTCTGGTTTCTTTTAATTTAAGTCTATTACTCCATGTCTTGTACTCTGGAATACATGAGGAGAGATCTTGTCCTTTCTCTTTGTGACAGCCTTTCATGTACTTGTAGAGTGTGATCATATCTCCCCTCAGTCTTCTCTTCCTGAGGCTGAACATGCCCGGTTCTCTCAATCTTTTCCTCATAGGACTTTACCCCTTCTAACTTTTCTGCATCTTTGTAAAATTTAGGTGCTCAGAACTGGACACAGTACTCCAGGTGAGATCTGACTAGTGCTGAGTACAGTGGAACTAGCACTTCGTATGTTTCGGAAGTGGTGCTTCTGTTAATGCAGCCCAAAATAACATTTGCCCTTTTGGCGGCTGCATCACATTGTTGGCTCCTATTTAGCTTGTCATCTACAACAACTCCAATATCCTTCTCATTTGCAGTATTGTTGAGTCACGTGTTCCACCTCTTGCAGCAGTACATTTGGTTTCTTGTTCTGAATTGGAGGATTTGTCATTTGTCCTTACTGAATTTCATTCTGTTGCTCTCTGTTGCACAGATTCTCTAATCTTCCCGGGAAGAAAGCAACAGCAGCAGCTCTGGTGAAGTGCCAGGTTAAATGTCTCATGTCGAGCAGTCCAAAGTGAGACCAAAAGATGAAATGATGCAGAAGGGACAGCAGGAAGTGAGTCATGGCACCATACGAAGCAAAGAAACACAATCCAATCTACTGAATGAGGCCCTGTCAATATGTGGGTATCTTCACTCACAATTCAGGCTGCAAGATCAGTACTGAAACTACTGGGTTGTAATATTGGTGCGCACATGCATACAATTCATGTGGCTTGAATTCTATTGTCTGTTTTTCAGGGCCTTTTCTCCCAAATTGCCCATGTACAATTAAGAAGATCCACAGATCAAAATGGTGTGTATTACTAAGAGGCTATTAGGGTTCTGTATCAGAGTGGGAAGACCATCTGCTGCGATTAACAAAACCTGAGAACAAAAGCCACAGTTTTCAATTTTTCCATTGTTCCATGGAAAATGTTCCATTTTAGTGGTCCTGTGTTGGATACAACTTTGGAATGTGGGGAATTTTTTAAAAAGATACATTACGGTGCATAGAAAGCTACTGTATACTGTGTCAGCTGGTCCAGCCAGCCAGCTTTGCCAACACTGATTGGCAGCAGAGACTCTCCAGAGTTTCACGCAGGCATTCTTCCTGCCCTACCTGGAAGAGGCCAGGAACTGCACAGCAGATGCTTTACCACTGAGCCACTGCCCCTTCCCAATACCATTGATCATATTGATATTCTGGATGAATAGACAGATTGATATGGCACAGAGTCATATAGCATCAGTATGGCAGAAGTCCTTCTAATTTACCTGCCATTCTGCTATGATGTTTTGACCATTGGCCCACTCAACTGTATTCTCATGATTCAAAGAAGTTCGTTTAGCTCTTCTACCCACTGCAGTGCACATCAAAACAGGCTACTTTCGGGGGCAGGGTAGGGATTTGGTTGAGCACAATATCTCCTTCCTCCTTCATTTTTCACACACAGCAAAGCTGCAGAAAAGATACCGCTTTTGTCACTGGGAACACACTCGGAGTTAGTGAGCATTGGTATGTCCATCTCCTCTTTATTATTTTACCTTTTTAAGCAAATTTATTTTTTCCAAGTTCCCTTAATGAAAATTAAAGAAACAAAAACAAAGGATCACTTGGAAATGTACATTTAACATGATCTGTAATCCTTTCCCCTCCCACCCCTTGAATGAGTTACATAAAATAGAGTCTAAAGTCCCTCAGAATGCATGTTGGTTATAAAGAATCTGTTGCAACCGCCATAACCATTTACAACTTGTTGGTACTGGCCTCCCATATTCAATTATATTAGTATATTCATTAAATGGTAACCAACAGTCTCAAAAGAATCAAACTGTCATTGACCTTTCATAACCTTCAATTTATATGGCAATTTTTCCATTGTTGCTGCTTCCATATCAATTTATACCATTCATTCAAATCTGTAAATGTAAAATCCTTCCAGTGTGACACTGTCAGTGTTCTAGCAGCAAATAAAAGATGTAACATTAGCTTCTTAATTTTCTTGTGCATATTCCTTTCAACAAATACATTCCATAGGCCCAAGTCTGAGTCCATAGGTACTTCTGCCCCCTGCTGTCCCAGTATTTATTGCCCAGGATCAATGCTTCAAGTTAGATTCCAAAAAAGCAATTGTGCTGGTGCTTCTACACTGTGAAATTATCACACTTCGTTCACTCACTTAAGTCCAGAATTTTTGTCCCATCACATTCCCACCACATGTGCTGGTAGGTGTCAACCCCTCCAGCACAAAGGGGAGGAATCAGACTAAATAAATGCCAATTTTCTAGGAGCCAGATACCAGCCTTCAGAGACATTTCTCAAGTATTAGCAGGTAGAGGTGGTGTCCCCCAGAAACTCATTCAAGCTGTATCATCAACAGAATTAGATAAGTTTGCCTCCCACCACTGGCTGAGATTTTTGCTTTTGCTCTCATCTGAGTCCAAATGTATCTTATATATATCCGACAGCATCCCTCTAATACAACCATTATCATTATTAATTAATATCTCAAAACTTAGTTAAGCTCCAAACCGGCTGGTCCTTTATACCCTTGCTAGAAATGAAAGAACAGAGTTGATATCGCAGGAGCCAATTAATATCAGAATTTCTTTAAGTCTGTACAGTCTCCTCCCTCGTCATCCTTTGATATAACACGTATCTGCATTGGTCAATAAACCTGGATGGGACTGAAGGGGCAGCAAAGGTGAAGGACTGCAGACTTCCCAACCCAAATTTCAAACACAGAGCATGTGGACCTCTTCTGTCCAACACATCAATTTAAATCTGTACCTCATAAATGGACCCACCTGTTCTGTAGAGACACCCATTGTCTGCTGGGCTCTTCAAGACAAAAGAAACTAACTGCTAATTGATCCATGATAGATGGAGACATCTTTTTCCATCTATAAACATCTTCTGAAATCAATTTCCAGACCCTGTTAGAAATTGCACGTATATAACTTATTCAAATTCTTAGTGATTGGTACCTCTCAATACTGACATTTAGAATAGTTGGTTGTTATCGCCAGTCTAAGTATTTCACTACTTTAGATTCCTACTGGGGAGGTTCCTTAAAAAAATTACTCCGGATTTTCTGCAATTGGCTCATAGCCCAGCCAGCTTCTGAGATTTAAGTAATTCTTTTTTTTTAATATTTTATTAAAATTTTTAAACTAACACTAAAAAAAAAAAAATCAAACATCACAAACATTGGATTCACTGGGTCTACTTCCTACTACATATTTTTTAACATTCTAATATCAAATTCCAATTAATTTATCATAGTTTGAAAAAGAAAAATTTACGCCAAGTCCCGTTTCTCCAGCCAATTATAAAAAGAGTCCCAAGTTTGATAGAAATCAGTATCCTCTTTCTCCTTCAGTGATAAAGTCAGTCTATCCATTTCTGCACAGTCCAAGATCTTTCTTACAATCAATCCATCGGTGGGCAGCTCCTCACTTTTCCAATATTGAGCAAATGCAATCCTCACCTCTGTAATTAGATGCAACATCAAAAAGGTTTCCTGTCTGTTAACATCTTCAGGTATACTGCCTAACAAGAAAACTTCGGGTTTAAAAGCAAAGGGTTTTTGTAATATTTCCTCCATCAATCTATGTATTTTAATCCAGTACTTTTTTGCGTTGTCACAAGTCCACCACATATGATAAAAAGTACCCACTTTATGTTTACATTTCCAACATCTGTTTGACATATTTGGAAACATCTTAGCTAGTTGACTTGGCGACAAATACCATCTATAGAACATTTTATATAAGTTTTCTTTATACGAAGTTGCTAAAGTTACTTTAATGTTTCTTTCCCATAGTTTTTGCCACTTTTCTAGTTCAACATTAAATCCAAAGTTTTGTGCCCATATTATCATAGTTTCCTTAACCTGTTCTCCTTCC